TATTTAGAGTGAGAGAATAAGGGAAAATGAAAAGAGGCTGTTGTAGGAGAAGAAGGACAGATAATAAACTTGTGTTAAGTAAGAAAAACAGGGTGGATTTGACTGAGGAGGGTTTTTTTGTATTTGGAAACAACAAATCTGATGTGGTTTAATAAAACGCACAATAAGAAATCAACATGGCCAAACAACACTTTATTTAACTACTGACTCTGTGGTTGAGCTGTGTTGTTCTTTTCATGTGAAAACGCATAATGTTTCACTGTCACACATGCTGAATGTGGTTTTCAGGATGTTTTGAACAGCTCGTTCTTAAACAGTCATTGTAGTATATACAAACCTGACAAGTGTTTGCTTTATTCATCCGTAATCGATACAAAAGAAAACAGTCCGCCGCTGACAACATGTGCGTTCGATTACACACCCACACTGGCAGTGACACAGGCCCGGGCACATGCACTTACACCGGCTTCACGGTTGGCATGCAAATGAGTGCATTGATTTGTTAAGTGACATTTTAACATCCTCACGGACAGCTTTCCATAAGTCCCTTAAAAGGGTTTTTTAGGGCCAATGAGGGAAGGAGGAGAGCATTCAGTGTCACCTCATTAAAGCTGGGGTGAAATCCAGCTCAATCCAGACCATAAAGCTAACCGCAAACCACAGCGACGCACAGAAACCTTACTGATAGGCTCAGTGCAACTCACAAACCTGTAGCAGGGACACTCACTGTTACTTTTGCACAAAGAAAGATCATCACTAAAAAAAAGTCCAGTGGAGTGAGGTGGAAAGAGATAAACATAAATCTCTTGAAAGCAGAATAAAAAAAAACCTTTTGGATGAGACTACGCAGAGAAGCCACTGAGAGGAGATTAGACGTTCTTGCTTTTTGCTCCTCAGGACTCCTGAGTAATCCTGGTTTAATGTCAACCAGCTGCTTAATTGCAATCACTTCAAGTCTTGTGTCTTGTGTTTCAAAAGAATATGGAAAGCATGCCTTAAAGTCTGCAAGCTGTATTTCTCCCTCTGAATGTTGGGATATTGATGGACACATAGTCAAACTGTCATTCTTTGACTGTTTTTGTGTGGGCTTTTTTTAGACGTTAATTTCAAACTCCAGCCACAGATGTTTCCGAGAGAAATGAATTAAAGTAATCTGAGACTTACCCATGGACTGGCATGCTCTTTATAACACAGTTTCATGGAATTCATCATAGATCTGCAAGCTAGCTAGAAAGCAAAATAAGATTCAGGAAGATAAATGAAAGAAGCCTTAGGTTCTCTGAAGTGGAAAAAAAAAGAGATGAATGTGAATGATTGTGTTTTCCACATTGGAGAATATTCAAAATAATTGTTTCCATTGAAATCAATTCACAGCACACAGCAAAGGGGACCCCCCTATGCTTCCAAGGTGTACTTTGTCAAACCCGTAACAATAGAAATGTGGGATTCCAGCGACTTCTACCCCCTATCAGCATTTACATAAAGGCATGCTAAATTATTCATTAATTATCAGAGAGTCCCCCGTGGATGGAGATGACACACACGCTGGCTGCTAATTGGCCCATCAATAATCTTTCCCTGTTCTCCTGAAGTGGCACCAGATCCCACCTCAGGAATCTGCTATCTGCCCCAACCTTCTGCCTCGCTGTTCCCACAGTGTGGAGCAATACAAGGAGACGTTTCAACACCTGCTCACCTGGCACAATATTAATAGGTTATCAGTACATACCTTAGTTCTGTGATTTATTTATAGTTATCCGTGAAGTACCATACATTCCTCACATGCAGTCTCTTAGATGTAGTTATAGTTAAATATGTGATGCTCTTGTTGATTTGATTAAAATACTAACAATTGTTACTGAAACTTTGTTATAATTTTGTCAGTCTTTGGAAAGTTGATAAAACTCTCCTCAACAGTTACATTTATTTGGCACCTTCAAGACATGCTTAAAACTTGAACTAAATTTCCAAAATGTCTGTCTTATCTTCTACAACCCAAAGATCTTCAGTTTACTAGAAAAGAGAAACAAGGATGGATAACAAGAACAACATTTAAAACAATAGTCAGAATTTACAACAATTAAACAATGATATGTAGAAGAGAGATTAATTAAAATCAGTAAGAAAAGGTAAATACACTGAGGCAATACTATGCAAAAAAAAAAACAGAGTTCACAATTATTTCAGATGCATGCTATAATATAACTCCAAATTAAAAGACAGATGAATAAAATACAAAAAGTATGTCACTCTGCTCCCCAGAGGCTCTAAATGGATGTTGTACCATAGGTTATCAATTATTAAAAAGGGGGAAAAAAAGCTTATATTCATGATCAAGGCTGTTTTCTGTTTACTCCACATACATGGCAGATATTCTTTGGATCTTTTAATTGTAGTCCACAGAGGTTAAGTTCCTTTACCAGGACTTTAGTCAAAGAGTACTGCTGTGTGACTGACAGTGAGAGAACAAACAAACAACATCATACAATTATAATGCCAACACAGCACATACACACATCTGCACACTCTCACTTATTCTACCCTCTTCAAATGTTGTGTGAAAGTGATTTTCATAAAGGCGGGCCTCCAGAGAGGGAGCAGCAATAACATGGCTGCTCTTTGTTTCCCCATGCTGATTGACAGTAGATTGCAGTGCACATTAAATGCCCATCAGGCCCAGCTTTACTTCCAGAAACTGGGGTGCAGGGCCCGTCAAAGGTCAGTCCCAATGCATAATGAACTGATCTCTCACTCACACACCCACACAGACGTACACACACGCATGATTGAACCCCAGTCAACCTGCTATTAAAGTGAGTTTGAATAAAGAGGTTTTCCCTGGCCTACAATGTAGCATTAATAAAAAAAAAGGATTGCCTTGTGACACAAGCCTTTAAACACACTTAACACTGTGTGAACATGTTGTTACCAGAGGGACAGATAGACATGGAGTCTAGACTTTTTAGACTCTAGGGGTGTTCTGTTTTATCTTAATACTTAATGTTACCTAAGTTTTTATTGTAGCATTACCCCGTAGTTCAGCTCTTGACGGAAAATGTTGTCAAGTGAGTCGCCTGGAATGGACAAGAGCAGACAAATATCTCTCCAACTGCTAATTTTGTCAAGTCTACAGGTCTCAGAACAGTGATATCATCCAACTGGGGCATTACCCCAAATGCCAATGTGTGTAATAACCATAAACGTACAGTATACACCAATTAGTTCACCTATGAAAAAAAATACACAAATAGTAAAACCCTCACATTCAGAGAGAACTCCACTCCCACTACGAGATAAACTGAGGCACTTCAACAAGATCTGGCATCTCCTTCTTCAATACCTCGAAGATGCTAAATCTATAACTGATCACTTATTACTAAATGACACTGATAACCCCCTGAGAGGGATGAGCGGATACTTGTGTATCCTTTAGTTGTTACGCTCTTTTTGAATTATTTTCAAATTAAGGATAAATCTGTGATACTGAATGAAAGACCGCCCTTTTAATATAGTACACTCTGACTCAGGGTTTTGCTTGCAGTGACTGCAGTAGAACATACATTTAAAAAGGGCTGAAATTCAACCTTTTTTCATAATCTCTATCTGTGCTGTGTATGATGCCCTCTATTCCCACTTTTGCCTCCAAACACTCTGAAATGTTAAATGTTGATTTCTCTCATAAGACTATGAGTAGACAGGAATAGGGCTGACATAATGCCCGTCCATTGACTCCAAACCACAGTTTTTACTTGGATGAAAATGTTTACATCCCAGTCGGATCTTCAGCAGGTCAAAATGCTTAAGATCAACCACAACCGTGCACATACTGTAAACTAAAGGTCTGATAGGCTCTATAATTAAAGGTGTGGTGAACCATTTAACCTGCCAAGAGAGATCAACATGTCCAAACAATGAACAATAAAAACTCAATCAAGAGCACATCATGCTCCCAAGAGTGGAAGGAGCATGACAATTAAACGTCAAAATATTGATGTTTTGTTTTTATGTTTGTATTGGTTGAAAACAAAAAATGAATTTTTCACTTTTGGTTCAATACTCAGTCCTGATAAGTCTGTATATTTATAAACTGAAAACATATTTTATCTGTCTATTGAATGATTCCCTTTCTTGTATTTCACATTCCCGTTTTTAAGCTTCTAATAAGTACAGATTATGGAATTTGTAACTGCGAAACAAAAATTCAGTCCGTTTTCAAGTTTAAGTAAAAACATTCTCAAACCTCAGCCGCACACAGTCTCCTCTTCATCGCCGTTCTCTCCTCCCTGATTGAAAGTTGTAATTAAGCGAGCAGGGAAGAATTAGATGCAGAATGAGCTGTCAGAAAGTCACATTTAAGTGAGGGATGCGCTGGGCTCTGCAGTAAAAATTTAAATGATATAAATTGCCATTTAAGTGAAGCACAGGCTAATGTTTTGTCACAAATTAATGTGACACAAGGCAGCAATGACAATCAAGGGCTGCCTCATTCTAATTTGGTCGTGTTTAGAGGGCTTTTGTGAGGCGACAGCTTTACACAAATTAACACAATTGCCTGTTTTTATGAGGAAACCATAAATGTTTTTTACCTCCTTCGCCGGCTAATGAGGAGAGAAAACGGCTTGTATTTTAGCATGATGCAGAGACGTCTGCAGAGGAGCTGGTACCCAACCAGCGGGGGAAAGAACAAAGACAGAGGATGAAACGGCTCCCTGATGGACTACACGAGTTCTCTAATGTTTTGATGCTCCCACATGATCAGATATGGAATTACTTTGCGTTTTGCTTATTGAAGAAATCATTGGCAGATTCTGCCACAGGAACAATTAGTCAAAATGTTTTAGCTTTCTCATCTTTGAGGGGCTTTAGTGATAACTGCTGTTGGGTGATTGGATGAGGAACATGTTTTGGTAGCATTTGGTTAGAATATGGTTGTTAAATGTTCTGCATCTGTTGACATTTTACAATAATCATAATCCTCTGTCCTTTTCTTCTACTTTCAGGCTCTAGAGAGCGAGTTTGTGTCCTGCCAGCTCCACCAGTGGATCGATCTGATCTTTGGCTACAAGCAGCAGGGACCTGAGGCCACCAGAGCCCTCAATGTTTTCTATTATCTGACCTACGAAGGCGCAATCAACCTGAGCTCCATCAATGACCCCATGCTCAGAGAGGTGAGGCTGATACATGCATACACACACATATTAGTATACATTAGTGTATTTACTATACTGCTAAATTTAACTCCTGTGGTGGATAAAGCTGACTAAGTAGAAAAATACCATGTTACTGTAAGTGAAAAATGGATGCTTAATCTGACTATATTACAAAGCATCTCTCCATTTGCTGTATCTGTATTTCATGGATATTTTTGATGCTATTAGCCATTTTAAATTGGTTGTAGAATGGCACATGGAGAGCTGTTCTAACAATCTTCTGGCAGGTTTTGCTGAGCAACGTGCGCCCCCCCCCCCCCCCCCCCCCCCCCCACACACTGTAAAAGCTTTCCAGCAAGTGCTCCACTTTAACGCCTTAAAGCCTCCTCCCTGGCTTTCATTCATTATTCATCCACTTCACTTTGAACTACAGACACACAAGCTACACCGACCTGCCCAAAAGCCAACACACAAAACACTAAAAGAGAAAAGAAAAACATTAAGATTTTCCAACAGAAAAACACCAGCCCTGACAACCTGAACAATCTGCCTTTAAAGCCAGCCAGCCAGCAGCGGGCCAATTGACCCTGCTCCCATCAGCCTTTTAGACATCAGGGTTGAACGGAATGAAGTGGTAAAAAAAAAATGCTGGTCAGTATGCAACAAAGTCCCAAAATTTACACCAAAATATAAAGAAGTCTCCGTTACACCAAAAAAAAAGACACATAACAAACACAAAAACAACAAACAATCGTTTGAGATGGTTTATGATGACAAAGTGTGACGAGAGGGGAGGGTGAGAAATGATAGCAGACAGACAATCAGATTTTTTACCAACTTACTTAAAAAAAAAAAAAAACAGGGCTGACTGGGTTTTTATTAAGCCTTTTCTAATTGTCCAGATGCATCAGTTTCTTGCCCCATTTTCAATTTGTTGTACCACTGTTGCTGTTTTTAAGAGTCTACCAATTCATGTGCTAGTGGAGCAATTTCTTTTTTAATATCTACATGAGTTATTGACCATAAACCTGAATTATCCTTTAAGCAAAGGTCCTCCTAGCATTGAGGTGTAAACAGAGATGAGTTCCGAGAATATCAAGCAGCCCAGCAGCCTCTCGCTTCCTCGTTCTGCTGCCCTTCATGCTCAGTGACTGGAGAATCACGGGCACCAGGGGCAGTTCTTTGATTTATCACCCTATTCACCCCAATTCCCATCCAGATGTGTTTTGGCCTTTAGCTACACACACACACACACACACACACACACACACACACACACACACACACACACACACACACACACACACACACATGCAGATTCATTTGCAGGGTGCAACGGTCATTTCCACACCCAGCCCATTCATTACCCATTCTTCGCGTTAACACACAACCACGGAATTGGATCACCAATAGACCAAGCTGTTCCAGTGACAATGAGGTTGATAAATCAATACACAGACAGGATGCCACTGGAGACGGATGCATGCAATAAGAGTGGTATCCAAATAACCCTTCCTGCCTCCTTGCTTATGAGTACAGGAATGCAAATTTTGGTTATTACCGGTATATAGAAGTTTCTGATTACATGGCCTTTTTTTTTCTCAATACAAATTTGTGTTTTTAGCAACTTACTGTCAATAAATGATTCAAAATTGTTTTACTAATCAAGTAAATAAACTACCAGCATATATTTCATGTCCCTTTTATAAGAGCATAATTTGTGTGCACTGGGTTATAGATTCTGTTTAGACTAGCACATTTGTTTTCATCAGGTTTCCTTGCATATCACAGTTTAAAATGAGTTAAACATCCCATATTTATCAATGAGTATGACTTACCAAACCTAATTTTCTTAAGGGAAATTGCAAAATGTTAAATGGCAGCATGTATGCGAGTTTAAAAAATGAATAAAACAGCAATCTCTTAAGAGAAAAGAGGGAAAGTCTGGTGTTTTCTCCCCTTACTCCCCCTCTGATTCTGTGAGTCCAATCTGCTGCCTTTCACCTTCTGTAAACACCCTCCGTCTGAGCGCTTTAATTAGTTAAATAAACCAAAGCAGCGTTATCCCTGTGAGCTAAGCCCAGGCTCTCCTTCAACTCCGTTTTGTGCGGAAGGAAGTGTGCCCTGTCTGTGCAGAAGGTGGAAACTGAGTTCCAGGCCTGGGCCTCGTCACGGCAGGGCGCTCGGGGGGGGGGGAGCTTTGAGACGGAGGGCTTTGGGTCTGAAAATGTCCCCAGAGTTCGCCATTACTGAGTGACAACTCTTTCTGACTGAGCTGTGGTCTGTGCTGGGTTTGGCTGCAGGCCTCCGTGGCTGTTCATTGTCAGGGGGATGGGTCACAGACGTGTGTGTGTGTGTTTGTGTGTGTATATTTTGGTGAGAAAAAGTTGGTGTAGTGGGATAGAGACTTCTGTTTTCCTGAAGACCTGTTTGGCAGCAGCTACTTCCCATCTACCCAAACCCAAACTTACTCACTCTCACACGCCTACACACACAAACACTCTAGAGTTTTGTGTTGCTTATACCTTGATATGTTTGTACATACATGTGTATGTATACATGCTTCCATTGGCATGTGTATATTTACGTGTACTCATCAGCATAAATGCACTCGGCTTTGTGTTTATGTGTGCCTTTCTGTTCTGGGAGAGAGTTTGGAATATCTCAACACAGATTAGGGAATGCTGTGGAGGCCACTGCTGTGTTTTTCAAAACCATGATTACTTCCTGTCCTGCCTCCACCACAAGTCAAAACTTACCTACCCCCTCCCTTCTCTAAGAGTCACTGTGTGTGTGTGTGTGTGTGTGTGTATGTGTGTGCAGATGCATTCATGTGTACGTGTGTGCATGGCATACATGCACATCTGTGTTGCCTCAGCGTATAAAGAGAAACACACCCTGTGTTGCCTTCTCATCGTTGTACAGGGCTTCCCCTCTTTCACATGTGATTATGGAAAATCCCACAGCCTCTCACACCACGGACAAAACACAGAGCCCTGTCTGAATTGTACAGCATTTGCGTAATTCGGCAGAAGAAGGGGAAATATGCCCACGCGAGTGAACCTGCTTTGACGCTCAGCCAAAGTTACTCACCATACAAAAGACTCACTAGTTTATTTGCTTTGGAAGATCATCTCCTGACTGTATTTCATTTAGTTTTAAGAGTATGGACGTAAAGCTGAAGAAACAGAGTGCTCCGCCTGGTTGCATGTCAACAACGCAAGGCCATTGTAATTATTCTTTTATTCTATTCATAGATCAAACGCTGTTGGGTTGATTTGCATAAAAGAAACATGGTTTACATGGAGATCCATCTTGTCAAGTGGCTGAGTAAATCAAACAGCATGCTGGGGCATCAGAGCAGAGGGCGTCTCGGCCATTTAAATGTATAGAATATAGAAAACCTTCATCAGACATGGGCCAGTGCCCCCAAAAGAGATTGGCCTTTGGGGTGGCCCCTCATATAATCACCTGAGCATTGCATTGGCATATAGGGAGAGGACATGCTGACCTAGACGCAGCCACTTTCCGACGTTCCACAGCCTCATAAATGTCAGAGCTGAACTTAATGAAGATAGGTTGAGTGGCTTTGAAGAGTGTCTTCTTCACATTAGCTTAAGTAAAATGCTTCGGTCTATAGGCAGAGGAGAGGGGAGGCTCTTTGACCTTGAATAATGCGCTGATGTCCTCTCAATAACAGACTCTCTGTGGGTGAGATGGAAAATGTCGAGACTCTGTCATGATCTGTAATGAGGTCATGTACCAAGGTGTTTTTATATTTAATAACATTGAAATACACATGGTACTGAAGTAAAAACCTTTATAATCGTTCTCACTATGAACCCATATAACTGGATTAGGGAAGTATCTCTTCCAGAGATAGCATTCTTGCACACATGCATGTGTTTACATCAGTGTCAGCTCACAGTAAATGCACTTTTGGCTCAAAAACGAAACCTCAGACACTCTTGTTAACGAGAAAACAGTTTAGAACCGTCTTTTTTTCTAAAAGTTTCCAATTGGTTGAGCCAGTACCAAACCACAAAGCTCTGGCCTTACTGGTGCTCCTCAACTGTATTTGCAACATGCTATGACGCATTGACATTGAATCCACTTTCTTATTTTTTATTTATTTTACCAGTACATTTTCAAAACAGACTCACAACACCTTATCCTTTTTGGTTTTATCAAAGCTCTTACTTATACTTATCATATCATACAAGCCTGTTGTAAATGTAGACCATTTTATGAAAGTGCCCTTGAAGTAGAGAAAATGTAGGGCATTGAGTTAAATGTAAAAGCTTGGATGTATATGATCTTCCTGTTAACTTAATTCTATGATCACATAGAAATAATTTGTTGCGTGATTCCTAGCAGTAGAAAACTTGGGTAATAGACGGTTGTGATCTCTCGTGCTTCTCTACGCCTCTCTGGTCTCTGGTTAGTTTCAGACAATGGCTACGAGCACTGTAACTTCCCAACCTTTTTTCTCATGGAATTACCATTTGCAGGCCTCGACCATGAGCTCATTCTCACAGGCCTCGCCAAGTCAGGCTCAGACCTCTCAGCGTACACACACTACACACAAGCTGTCACTCCCACACAGCCAGTCACAGTGCACACCAACACACTGACGGCTCTTGTCATAATTTTGTGTCTGCCATTTTCTCCCTGCCTGTCCCTTTTTATAAACCATCTATCACGATGGGCATGACAGATTGTCTCACTTATTGCAGTTTCTTCTAAAAGTGTTTTACAAATTCCTAGTGATGCATTTCCTGTTTACTTTGTTTCAGAAATGTTATGTTTGATTATTTGTTTTTCTATTTCTGAAAGTGCCTGAACTTTCTATGTAGTTTTTGAGATGTGGTTGACAGCATTAGCTTTGTTTTTCTGTTATTTATTTAATTTAAAACAGAATATTTTGGGGTGTGTTTTGACTGTAGGTCAGACAAAGGAGGCATTTGAGTATTTTTTCACTATTTCCGATCATTTTACCATCTTAGAATTCTACAAAGATAAATGTCAAAATAACCAGTAATAAAAAGTATTAGTGGAAATCATAAATCAAAGTATTGTTATAGTGTATTGGGATACTGTGTGTAGGTCCATGCATGTGCACTCTGCTGTGGGTATGTTCAATCCCGTGCTAGCTGTCCTGACAGTGAGCTGTGTGATGATGTCCAGAGGCCGCTGGGCCGGCGTCTGCTCTGACATTTATGGTTCTATACCTCTTCATTAACACCACCTAACCAGCCTACAAGCCCGCCCGCCCAGACTGCCTCTGATTCTGCGTGTGACTTGTGGACGATAAATTGATTTGTGTGTGTGGAAGACAGAATGTGTCCAACAGTGAAAAAGTATGTGCGTGTGCATGACAGGGTTTTGTATTCATCTCGATGTTTTGCTTTGTTGAGATTCACTAGACTTATGTTATGTCGTATTTAATTGAATGAGTCATTATATGGGATGTATAACTAAACTGTGTTAAAAGAAAAACTGCTCAACCAAATTGTTATTTTCCTGATCCAGCTGTATCTTTGCCTCTAATACTCTCTCTCTCTCTCTCTCTCTCTCTCTCTCTCTCTCTCTCTCTCTCTCTCTCTCTCTCTCTCTCTCTCTCTCTCTCTCTCTCTCTCTGTTTGTAGGGCTTTATCAGAATCACAATCGGGTTTTATTGCCAAGTACATTTACACATATTATTAAATTATTATAATGATTCTGAAATTAGTATTACGGGTAATTAATTATCTGTATGAGTCAAACATATATAGTTTCATCCAGAACTGTACATTGGTTTTAAATTAAGTGATGTAGCTAATACCTATTATTATTTCTAAATTCACAAATACTCTGATATACATTCATCCCATAATATCATGCAGTACATAAACTTGTCATCCCTCTTTGCAAAGATTTTATTTTTAACATCCTTTAACTTGTTTTGACCTTTTAAATTCCTGGATGAAGAGAGATTGACAATAACTGTTTTTTTGTAACTCTCTTTTTAAAAAAAGAAATTTCTATTCCTTCATCCTTATCTGTTTTTCCCTGTGAAGGCTGTGGAGGCTCAAATCAGGAGTTTTGGACAGACCCCCTGCCAGTTGCTCATCGAGCCACACCCGCCGCGAAGCTCGGCCATGCAAGTGGTGAGTGATACACGAAAACGACTTCAAAACAAACACACAGATCACTTTATCTATGAGCCCTCAGTTTTTAAAATACTATGAAAAATAAATGTCTGTAGCCAACTGAGCTACGTTATCAACTCTTTTAGCTGCCTGTTTCATGCCGCCTCTGACTTCTGGTGCGCCTTAATGTTAGGGCTCTGCTTTGCTTCATAAAACTCTTCTTTTTCACTTTTTGACTCACTCTTTTCATCCTGTATTTGCCTCTTGTCTTCTCCTTATCCGTCTACAACTGTGGGAAAATAAAGTCCAGGGTTTGAAAGCATCTCCTCTCTCATCATTAGCGAGGTGTGTGTGAAAGGGGGAGATCACATGCGTTAGTGTGCATGTGTGTTCAGTGAGAGCTATGCTGGGCAAAGGCACAGCTTTGTGCTGGAAACCTGGGTCAGAGCCAGGTTTTTCTACCTGAGCTGCAGGCAGAGGAGATCAGCCACGGAGAGAAATGAACAGCAGCCCTGAAGTGACGGCTTTTTAAGGGCCAAGGAGTGCAGTCAGCGTGCCTGCCTGTGATGGACCCAAGGCCCCATGAGTCCCTATTAGTGTGGTGTCCCTGTGGCGCTGACAGCTGGCTGTAGACCACCACCCAGCGCACACATGCACACTCAGACAAAAAACTAAGACTGGGGCTTTGAATGCACCCCACTTATGGAAAAAAAAATCCTATGTAATGTTTTTATATTTACTCTGTAAACACAGTTTTTAAATTGATATTCAGATGCCATTATTCAAACACATTTCTGACCCTCCTCACCCTTCACTTTCCTTCAGAACACCCTGTTCTCTTTGATTTTACATGTTCTTGCCCTCGACTCTCTCTACATCCTCCCTCATGTGAGTGTGTTGTCAAAGTGTCGGCATCCGCGCACGCCGGTGGTAATGATACTGTCAGTGCGTGTGGTTAGCTGTCAGACACACCGGATTCACTCAGGTCTATTCCTGATGTTAACACTGATGTTCCTCTTCTTTACACGCAAGCCGGAAAATGGCTCTGTCTTAGAGCTGTTAAGTACAAACAGTTTGTAAACGCCTCTAAAGAAGCTCCTGTCTAACCAAAGAACTGAGTGATGACTCAGGGAATCAACTCTTTTCTAAGGACTGCAGTAGGAAGTTAAAAGAATATGCATCAATGTAATGCTAAATATATTAATAAGATGTAATAGTTTTTGTTGATATCAGTAGAATTCTGAATTATACTTTAATATTTAGGAAAATACACAGACTATAAAAGGTTTGTGATTAAATGTTTAATTAAACGATCATAAATTACTTGTTTATCTTGTGTTATATAGAATGGAAAGTTATGGATGTGGTTTGTGCTGCTTGTGGTATTAAGACAAAACAGTCCATTTTGTTGACATTACTTGGAGGGAAGTTTTATTCACCATAAAGGTGATTGATAATTAAAACTAATTTTAGTTCCAATCTCATAAGAGTGAGATGGATTGGTAAGTGTTAATGAAGTTTATGCACATGAATTAAGCAAGTTCTGTTTCAAGTGCTCTCTTAGTACACTGAGCGATACATACTCAGTACTTTAAGACCCCTCTGGGCATGTTTTAGAACATTTCAATAATTACCAGTACTTTCATTTAATCATTTATTATTTTTTTATAATCATAAGTTCAGTTCTATCTACTCGGTATCGCTCATTTAATACCACAGGATGCTTGTCATGTCCTTGTCCCACTTCCTAAGTGGAATAAAAGATGAAGATGTGGTTACATACTGGTTCTGGTGTCACTGCTGATGGAAACATTCTCCTTCTGTCAAACTGGTGTCAAACATGTTTCTGCACAGTGAACACATATTCCTTTGTCAAAGAAGATGTTACACAAGATGTTTTCTGTCACTTGTTCAAAAATACTTGATTATCTTCGTATAATTTTCTCCATCACTGTTTCCAGTTGGTCTCTCATCCTTTCCATACAAACCAGTATCTGAGTCTTTTTCTTGTCTGTACTGCTAAAATGCTGCTTACTGCTATCCTGCTCAAACTTCCTAACTTTCTCTCTGTCCTCTTTTTTTTCTCCTCCCTTTCCTCCTGTCTTCACTTCGCTCTAACACCGGCTTCTTCACTCTTTTTTACTTTTCATTCTTGCTCTTCGTCTGCTGCTCCAAATCTCCGCTCTTTCCCCCACCCCTGCTCTTTTCCGATCCTTGTGTTGTGTTGTCCATCCTGCGGGGCCTGAACAGTATCTTCTCCTGCAGACCCCGATGATGTTTACAGAGCAGATGCAGCAGGATGTAATCATGGTGCTGAAGTTCCCATCTAACTCTCCCGTGACTCACGTAGCAGCAAACACCCAGCCGGGTCTGACGTCACCTGCTATCATCACGGTCACTGCAAACCGCCTCTTTGCTGTCAACAAGTGGCACGGCTTGACAGGTGAGAGATACATGTTCATGCATTTTTATATCCACGTTAATTCAGTACCTCAAAGGTGCATGTCATTAGAAGTTTTTTTCCGATGTTAGTTCAACATTTTTACACCACTTATCCTGCTTCTGGCTGGCTAAGCAAATCTTTTGTTACCACAGAATAATTTTTCATATTTTCTCGGTTCAACTCTCCTCTAATTTATCAAAATCCCAGACTGACCCGTCTCGTCTCTGCACGATGGACGTTGATTTGGGAGACAGTTGACTGTGTCTCCTTGATAGCAGTATCAAATGTGACGCATGCAGCAGCCAGCATTAGGTCTCACGTCCAACTCCATACATCAGACTCTCACTCCACTAAACCTTATTTATCCAACACCCCATCTGCTCCTTGAAGAAACATTGCGTTTGATATCTCTGACTTTATGACGATGAAGACTTATCTGTTTTAAGTAGCACACAACGTCCATCCATGCGCACCACAGACCAGACTGATTAGCCTGATTGGTTTATAGAGCTGCTGTTATAAACACCATGTGGGCTGTGGACAAGTAGTTTGTTAATTGCATGAATTTACTACAGTCTTCATGTGTGGTAGAGCACATAAAAGATCAAGTTAAAGGATATGTACACACACACACACACACACATACAGTGATTGTATGAAAGAGTAAAAATGCATTACTCAGATTTATGCATATGGAAGCATTTAAATAATTACAACATATACCCAACTTAGAGTTTCACAACATACATTGTCATGTTGAATTAACAACATTGTTGCTGATTAAGAGCCTAAATGTCGAATGTTGATTTTTTGTTTTAATGCTCTTTCAGAAGGGTAGATGCAGATAATGAATCAAAGATATATTCAATCAAACTTTTAACAGGAAGTAAGGTTCAAGTCAGCTTCACAAGTGTCAGATGAATGTCCCTGTTCTATTCTTCTGTTCATTAGACATGATGTGATTTTCTGACGATCTCATGACATGAAAAAATGCAGTAATGCATCTTTATCTTTAAAAAAATGTTAAGTCATAGTAATATGACCTGAGGAATCCATAATGAAAACTAAGATTAGTTAGATAGAGTTAATTTACAAAATACTACATTTCTGTCTTTGTTACTTCAACATCTTCAGGTTTGTCTGACAAAAGAGGGAATTTAAATATGTATTTGCCTTTTTTTATAGTAATCTGACCCTTTATTGTCTGAACAATTACTTGGTTTGTCAAAAAGAACATTGTCCATAATTCTTTTAACAGCATTGATGAGGCTGAAAATGTTATTTTTCCCGTCTTTACACTTTCTACCGTCTATCCCATGTTTTTAGTTAGCTTAGCAAAATGTGTCAGCTGCTTGAAGCTTAAGTGGCTCGGTTGAGCATGAAGTAAGAATTAAGAATCACATTCACTAAGGCCCTGGAAGCTTTTTTCTATAATTGATGTGTAGTTTTGGAGAACTCTTGGGCCAGCAGGTGACACACAGGTTTTATAGTTATCATTTCCAGTCTGTTATAATGACCTGAAAGCTAGCATCTATTCCACAAGGCCACATGATTAAAATATTAATCCAATCTGTCTTCTTTTTTGTCAGGTCATCAGAGCTCAACGGTGCAGGACCAGCAGTACCAGCTACCAGTGGAAATAGACCCTCTGATAGGTATGCTGTCATTTAAAACAGTAAAAGAGCTCACACACAGATATTCTTTACATCGTGTGAGCTCATATAAGCATGAAATGATTTTTTTTTTTTTTTCATCTGGATTTGTGTATGAATCCTGCTGGCGTCTCGGTGACTCATGGTGGCGTGCGGTGCCGTGTCCCTGGACAGTAGATCAGAGATGTTTCTCAGCCTCTGCCCTGGTTCACTCCTTATGATATAGGCCCTGCTCTCACACTGAACCATTTGCATGCAAATTGGAATGCAATGAGCTGTGGCCTGGGCCGGCATTTCATCATCAACCCCCCCCCCCCCCCCCCCTTTCTCCCCTCTCCTCTCCATCGTCCCCTCCCCTCCCTCTCTTCTGCATCCTCTTTGGTTTAATTTGAGCGGAGGGAAAGGACGCGTGTCAATGGGAATGAATATGAATGTGGTAATAATGTGTGATTGAAAATGCACCACGGACGGCTGTCAGGACAATATGGGCGCCTCTCATCCTTCACGACTTGTTGATGAGCAGGAGAAGAGTGCCGGGCTGCAGTGATGTATGGGATGCACTGGTGAAGCACGGAGAGAGGAGCCACTTCTATTTGCTCCTGCCTTCGCTTCGTCCGCTTCCACTGCAGCCTCACACACATCTGCAAACGGGGGGCTGTTCTTTCTCTGTGATGTTGTGGTCAATCGTTGTCTCAGCAGACCGTTTCCATACCTTCTTCTTGTCTTTTTTTTTTACCACTTGACGGCTGAAAATAACCAGGGTTTAGTCTCACATATTCATCTTTATCTGCGTGCATAGTGTGTCTCTCCTCCTCTACAGACAGGCAGAATGAAAGAAATCAGTGTCTCTGACTCAGGATTTATGCGTTCATTACATGTTTCCTGACAGCTTTATAGTGGCTTTGTGTTGCTTGTTACTCAAAGATAATTTTAGCTTTTAAATCTTCAATATTTTTCAGTTTTTTGTTGTTGTCTAATCACATGGCTTCATTGTGTTCTCACATTTTGTCGTCATTTTTTAAACCTGGGCTCAAATAATGTACTGAATCCAGTCCAATCCAGATTTATTTATAAAGCACATTTAAAGACAACAAAAGTTGACCAAAGTGCTTAACAATCAAACAACAAAAACACAATAAATCACAGATTAGTCTTCTAAAACCTGGGCACAAATAATGTAGTGAATGATCTATGTTTTTTGTGCGTCTGGGTGTGCATGTGTCTGTTTAGGGGGTAGGCAGAGAGTTTTCTCTGTGCTTGTCAGTAATATAGTTACACTGTTTGCATTCCAGGAGGAGTCTGAGCTAAACACAGTAAATTGAGGATGAGTGTTGAGCCAGCTGTGGCTTTGGGAAATGTTAAAAATGGGTTGAAATATGACTTTTTGCAGCCGTACTGGACTTTCTCACTTTTTTCCAGATGACAGACCATTTTTTTCTCAGACACCTGTTCTCCAGTGCTTGTGACCCCACCATAAAAGAAATACTTCACAATGGATATATATCTCTAGAAAAGAAAAAAAGACATCACTTACGGAAGAGAAAAGGTCGATAAATTTGCTTTCTTAACTGACCGTTGGCTAAATTACACAAGCAAGATGAATCTACAGTGTGTGTCCTGACTTGAGTGGTGTACATATTTTGTGAAGACTGTACACTCTCTATCATTACTCAGACCAGACTCTAGGACTCTCTCGGAAAATGTGAAGTCCTGTAAACTTAACCTACAGGATGTTTTATGGATTCTCCCACAAATCTTCTTTGCACTCCGGGCCTAAACTTCACTGGAGCTCCTTGATACATGTTAATTATAAACTGCATTTCTATGATGGTTTTTATATTCTTAATGCACATTAACAGATTAAGACCTTTGTTTTCAAATGCTCCTTTTATTTTTATTCCCCTCCTCTCCAGCCAGCAACGTGGGGAGTCATCGCCGTCAGATCTCAGACTTGCTCGATCAAAGCATTCTGATCAGCTCGCAGTGTTTCGTCATCACTGCAGACAACCGCTTCATCCTCCTGTGCGGATTTTGGGACAAGAGCTTCCGGGTTTACTCCACTGACTCAGGTACTGCACCGTGTTGTATGAGCAAAGAAAACCTCTCCCACAGAACTATCGTACAATATGAGCATTATCATAAAAAAGATTTTGGTTTAAACTTCGTAACACAGAATTGAATCTGCAGGAGAATCTGATCATATCCTAACAATTCTGCCCCAAACAAGCACAGGCAGAGAGCTAGATACACATTCAGTCATTTAGTTCTTCATGAATCATAGTTAAAGTCTTAAAAAAAACATATTTTCTGTTGGCATCAGATTTTAACTTTTGTAATAGAATTATAATATAACAAATATTGTTATGTTATAATTCTGTTACAAAATATATATATATATTTGTTATATTATAATTCTATTACAAAAGTTAAAATCTGATGCCAACAGAAAATATGTTTTTTTTTTTATATGTGTGTGTGTGTGTGTGTGTGTGTGTGTGTGTGTGTGTGTGTGTGTGTGTGTGTGTGTGTGTGTGTGTGTGTGTGTGTGTGTGTGTGTGTGTGTGTGTGTGTGTGTGTGTGTGTGTGTGTGTGTGTGTGTGTGTGTGTGTGTGTGTGTGTGTGTGTGTGTGTGTGTGTGTGTGTGTGTGTGTGTGTGTGTGTGTGTGTGTGTGTGTGTGTGTGTGTGTGTGTGTGTGTGTGTGTGTGTGTGTGTGTGCCTTTAATGGAGAGATAGGACAGTGGATAGAGTCGGAAATCAGAGAGAGTAGGGAATGACATGCGGGAAAGGAGCCACAGGCTGGATTTGAACCCGGGCAGCCTCCATACATGAGCCAGCGTACTAACCACTGGCCCACCAGCACCCCAGAATTATAATATAACTTAATTATAATATGGCTACACAATAAGTTGAATCTCATCTCTAATTTTCTGCTTATCACATAATGGCAAAAACCCTGATCCACATCAGGAAATGTCAAATACATTATATAAATAATCAAAATTGGAACATTGCTTTGAAATGAACCTGGCACATCTATACTTCCCAGAGGGTTTACTCTTTTGTCTGAACAAGTGCTTTTAGCCTCAAACCAAAACTTAAGCTATAAATATATAATGTTGTAAATGCAAACAAGCAGATTTCCATAATATTTAATTTAACACGTTCACGGTATTAAAGGGCGTAACACAGTAAAGACATAAACCCCAGGGCCTTTCCTCGATTACCATCCTCCGGACAAACTTATCATTTGTCTCTCACTCCTCACAAAAAAAGGATTTAAGAGCGACATAAAAAAAAATTACAATTTTGTTTACCATTTCTTTTTAACACTGATTTACCAAGGGCAGTGAACACTGTGGCCTCTATAGCAGCCTTTGGATTCTGTAAGAACACCACAGTGTATAGTCTCAGCTGTTGGTATGTTGTAGCTGTGCCTTTGAGTTACAGAACATTCATGTTTTTGTTGTGTCTTTAAAGATAAACTCCTGCACACTGACTAACTTGCAAACAAACATTTATTGGCAACGTTTCTGTACTAGACCTTCATCAGGCAAAAAATCTTTAAATTGTGTCTTGAAATTTGTTGCATGTCGGCATGTGCACTGTCAACAGCTGATGTAGGTTTATATCCTTAACGTCATTTATAATAAATGACCAAAACCACTTTTATGGTTTGATTGTTTCATGATATTGTTTTTATAAAGTAATGAGTAATTCACTTTTTAATTATTGAGCCCCATATCACAAATGTGTTTTCGCATACCATCTTACATACAGTGCAGGTCTAGGCTGTATTCTAGGTCTAGGTAGATGACCATCGGCCTCAGCTGTTCGGTATACTTTCTCATATGCACATTTATTGTGAATGTTGACAACACTCTCAATTATTAGTATAAACCTCAGTGTACCTTATGTATCTTGTAAGACCTGATATCAATATTCGCCTCCCCTGAATAAGCTGTGCAGTGTTTCACAGTGGCGTTGTACCACTGGCTTCAGACTGTTACATGCATACACTCGTGCATTGCAGGCATTGTTACAAATGCACACCCTCACACACAGACGCCAACAGGTCAGGGGTCCTAAATGAGACTGTCTGAATCTTCATCTCTGTACCTCGCTCCTCCGCTCTCCTCCCCGGCCCCATTCAGAATCCTCCACACACAACACACTGATTCAATTTCTGCAGGCCGGGCCCTCCCTGTCCTTAATCGAGGAGGGAGGGACGGAGGGATGGGAGCTCAGAGATAGCTCTATTGTGTGACTGCCACCGGGGTGTGAGACTGGAACGTGAACACGGTTTAATCGCGCACGCTCAACAGCTGCCACCGACGTCCCTGAAGTCCCCAGGTTAAAGAACTGAGGGGATTTATCAATTACAAGACTTGATTGTTACACGTACACCAAACACATAGCCTCATGCGCCTGGTGCGCTCATTTCCAGTTTAATTTGTCACTATGCATTCAATTGTGATCCAGTGAGCAGATGAGTGTGTTCAATAAGAGTTGCATGGTAGCCATTACTGCTGCAGCCTTTCGTTACTTATTTTCAGTGTTTATAGAGATGTCAAACATTTTACACCTTTTGATGTCTTTGAAAGTTTAGTCAGCGACCCGCCCAGCTTCATCGTTTTCAGTGAGATACAGCTTAATTATGTGATGGACGGTGATTTTGACACCCTACAGGAATGTCATGTGTTGCAAACTATCCACTGTTTGACTGCAGAGGTCACACTACGAGGAGCGTAATGAGTTATTAGACAGCTAGACAGTGGAGCTGTGGTCTGGAAATCTGACAGCAATTAGCCTCCTTCTATATACACATGGAGCGCACTGCATGTGCATGATCACACACACACACACACACACACACACACACACACACACACACACACACACACTCCGAGCGGGAACAAATATTTATTCTTGTCTGGGAATTAGTGGGCGTATGATCTTGTGTGGACTTTGCAGAATAAATGGCCCATCAGACAGGGGGTCAAGAAACACATGGGAAGAAAGAAACTCCTCTAACAATTTATCCATACTTGATTATTTTGTGTTGTTGAACTATTTGTTGGATTTTTGTCTTAATTGTGAATTCTTAAATTGTTTGAGAAATATCACAAGAAATTCTGAATTAATTTCAAATAAAATTCTTAAAACCATTAAGTGCTTTTTATTTGTACCACTTGTCATCACGTTAAAATGTGTACATCTAACAGATCCTCATTTTTTTTTTACATAATTTAATAAGAAGCTCAAATAATTCCAGTTTTAAAATCCAGTTTGTAACATTGTATATTATCGGGGAAATGTCCAGGATGTATTGAATACTTATGCAAGCCACTGTACATGCAGCATGCCTTAGTTCTCTACAGATCAATGAGTATGTGAGTTTATCTTTGTGTTTTCACAGGTAAACTGACTCAGATCGTCTTTGGCCATCGGGACGTGGTGACGTGTCTGGCTCGCTCTGAGTCGTACATTGGAGGAGACTGCTACGTGCTGTCTGGCTCCAGAGATGCCACCTTGCTGTTGTGGTACTGGAATGGGAAGCATAACAGCATTGGAGAGAGCCCAGGCAGTAAGTACACAGGAAAACCAAAGCCACACACACACACACACACACACAGAGGGTTTCCTCTGAGCGCTCACTCTCCCAGACAGTTGTGAGCATGTGATTTACGGCCTCTCTCTGTAAAGTAACAACTAGTTTCATCTGACCAGGCCAGGCCTCCTGCATACAGATTGGATTTCGCGGCACTGCTGCACTATGAACAGCTTTCCATAATGTGTTGGAGATTGTGTGTGTGAGTTTCTGTGAGAACAGATATTTCGTGTGCGAGTCTCTGAATGTCTGTGCGTGTTGAGAATCTGTCTTTAATGCGAGGGCCACTTAGAGACGTTAAACGTGATGTTGGGGGTCGTCGGCCAGCACGCGAAAGTTCACCACCATCCGTGGGCCACGGGGTCACGCTAGTCGATAAAAGTGAAAAATGTCACAGGCCTCCTCTACGTTCCCATAACATATGGCATCAGCCATGATCAAAGCACCGCACACACACTGCTCAGCCCTCGGCCTCCTCGGTGCTGATTTGGTCAGCTTAGATTGGTGTATATGTTGTTAACTGATCCTTTACAAATGGGCTGAAATTTATGACAAATTATGATTTGGTTAATAAGCAACATTAGTTTCTGATTTAGGATAGATGATTGTTAGCAGAGATGATTGCTCATCACCAACATGGACTTTTTATCAAGAAAAATAAACGGTATTCCTGCATGATATTCACAGAAACTGATTCAGACTAAAAACATCAACAGAGCTGACAAAATACAATAGAATAAATAGATAACTTGGTTAAAACTCCTGTGAGGAATTATTTGTGTGTTGATTTTGGCGCCATTTGTGGACAAAGCATACCTTTTCTATCTCTGGTGATTTAGTCCTGAAGATGCATAAGAATTGTTCTGTGACTGAAAATATAATCCTGCTTTCTATGAACTGTCTAATGTATCACTTACTGTGATTCCTTACCTCAGAAAATATAATCAAAGTTTGTTTCAGCAGCATAGTGTAAATCGCCTTGTCTGGCCATGCGATAGCATTTACAGACATTAAATATGAAGAAGTTGAAATATTAAATCTTGTCGCTGATGATCTCGTTATCTTGTGTAGATCATAAAGAGGCCTCAGTATTAATGAGTCTGTTTCATAAACAACTACAACTCATCACTGGAGCCTTTAGTCATTTTCTCAAGAACAATTGTTTCAAAATTCAAAAGTTTCCAGGTTTAAGATTTTTTTTTTAATGTCATCAATGACGGTAAATAAAGACTGAAGGGCTGAACAAAAAAAAAAAAAAGATTCATGAATATATCCCTTTGGACTAATAAAACATAGTGATGAACATTTATTAAATGTTCTTCAAATGTTGTGGAATGAAAATCAACATTTGATGATTTGTGAAAATATTGTCAGTTCAGTTTATTTGTTTTGTTTTTTTATTAAGAAATTTGGTGGCAGGCCTTAAATATATGCATTTAGTTCTCTACCTTAAGTCCACAAAAAACAAATTCTCTTTGAAGTTGCTTTAATTTACTCAACAGAGAGCATGACAAGTGTTTGACAAAAAGTAGGATCACCTCACTGTTATGAATTCACCTCAAAGATTTCCTTGAATTAGTAGACATTTCAGCAACATTTTGACTTCTTTGGGGCATTATGTTTTCTACCGACCTAAAGCATTGAAGTTATTCATTCTCCTCATGATGCATGTAGTTAGCTTATATGAGGGTTTGGGTTAACCGAATGATTACATTAATGACTACATGCCTAAAAAGGTTGTGCGTGTATGTCCCCATGCGTGTGCTCTACATGTTCTCGTGTGTGTCAGTCTAACCTCAGCCTGCTCAGTGCAGTTGCCGCACTGTAGCTGGAAGAGCAGACAAAGCAGTCGTCATCCTAACCCCTCCTCACCACAATGTGATGCTCCATTGCCCCAGACCGCAGGAGGCTCTCCAAGACATGAGGCTCTGCTGCACACACACACACAGAAACACACAGAAACACACACACACACACACACACACACACACACACACACACACACACACACACTCGCAAAATGTAGTCAGACAGCAGACTTTCCTTTATTCCTCTTCCAAAAACTAAAACACTTTCAAGCCTAAGTCTCCACATACACTCCAATGAGAACACAGGCATACTTAACAAACACACACATTCCTTTTCATGCGTAATGCCCTATGAACATCTCGCACACTTCATAAGCTTGACACAAATGCCTCTGAATGGCTGATATGCACATGTACACGATGACCTGTGCACACTTGGTTCCTGCTGCAGGCACAGCACAGATTCCAAAGGCAGCACTGCCACCTGCTGGCCACAGAGGGAAAAGCAGCCCCACCAGACTTCTATTTAGAAATATACTTTAAAAAAACATTTGTATTATTTTTAAAGTGAATACTTCATAGCATTAGTTACAATATTTGCAACTAGAGAAAATGATTTTCACATAAAAAAAATATGCACTACATGGATATGAGAATCTATCTTTATATTTGTTATAAACAGAAATGTAAACATGCACTTAAAATGTTGTAGTTCACATTGACACATTACATCTTATCTGGAGCCTGTATCACATTTAAAATCCTACTTTTTATCTTGAATTTAAAATGTTTAACTTGTAACAACTGTGAGAAAGATAGGCCAAAGCTCAATTAAAAAGGAGCTGACTAAAAAAAACTTGTGTATTATATGCATTTTACTAAGGATGTTTTAGCTGTAGTACACATTTGCTAATATGATATATATATATATATATATATATATAGGATATGTGAAATCTGTGTGGGTTACTCTGCCAATAAAAAGGTATGGAGAGGTTTAGAAATCTGTCCTTTTTACCAACATGGAACAGGATCCTTTTTTAGTCCCTACATTGACACACACACACACACACACACACACACACACACACACACACACACACACACACACACACACACACACACACACACACACACACACACACACACACACACCTTGTCCACACTTGTCCAGATAGTTGATACCCTCCTCCATGTCCAGCTTTCATCGTATAAAGGTAAAGATTGTAATCAGATGTGGCGCTAATTCAAACCAAATGGCAGGTAGCGGCTCAAAAGGTTAACTGATACACCAATATATCAGCTTTATTGATCTCCTCTAAGCAACATCCAACATCATGCTTTAATCCCCTGGCTTGTTGGTCGTAGGTTTGCCTAAGAGGATGTTAGACAGTTAATTAAATGTAGATGTTTAGGCTGCCGGACCTGTGTTTGACCAGAGTCAGTCGGCTGTAAGTTCTTTGCAAAGTGAGCAGAAATAGGCATGGGGAGTCGAAATGATTTACAGGTATTAAAATGTATGTGAAGTTATTATCTGTTATTTTTGTTTTATATTATATATAAGTGTTGTTCAGCTAGTCTTATGAATCTTTTCACCTTTTTTGTTTTGTTTTAGTATAGTCGTTTTAGGCATTATAATAATATGGGAACAGAATTCTTTCAATAAGAGAACATGCATTGATTTAAATATGATCAGCCATATTGTTATACTGTGCGTATGGACTGGATTGTTTTATGAATTTAAAACCCTGCTGATGTTCTCAAGTTTGCTTATTTACAAAAGAGTTCAGTGAGAAGCAAAGTCTGTACTGAGTCTCTCGTAAATCTAATTAAAGTTTTACAGTAGCTGTAAGTACCTATGGCATTTTAAGGGAGAGTTTCTGTCTTATTAGTGAAACCCTATTGAGTTATATGACATATAATTGAATTAAGGAGGAAAAGGCAGATCAGCAGATTTAATAGTTTGGCCAAGTCAGCAAGAAACTTAACGTGTTTTTCGAAAGTACTTAAAAGTAATATCACATCACAACAAGTTTCAGTTTTCACTGCATTTAGGGAAAAAAGTTGTTTTGTCATAGGTTTTACTGAAATTACTTTACCCTAAAGTTTTTTCAAGTTGATACAGAAATATTTTTTATTTTTATTATTTTATTCAAATCATGTTCTCACCATTACTGCCCTGCGCTCCTCTTTTTGGGTTGAACTTGACTTCTGACCTCAAATCAGACGTGGTCACAAAAGGGAAAACCCCTTCTCTCTGAGACATGAAACTCTAATGAACTCCACACCACAGTTCAGAGATTCTGTCCCAAATGTTGGTCACTACATGAGCATACACAGACAGGCTCTGCTGACCTGGAAAAATTCAGTTTGACGATTGTTACATTAATCTACATGCTGTCATTCAGCTCAACACTTATCAGTATTTCACAATTTTTCGGGTACAGAATTGGCCTGTGAATAATCCATCTTCTAAGGTTAAAAATTATTTTTAATAATACAACAAAGTCCAAACTCAGCTGAAGTTTGCATTTCCTTGTAAACATAGAAGACAGATGGGGAAGTAAAGAAGTGATTTTGTTTAGTCGGTTGCCTGACAGCTCAAACCAAAACAAAATCACACTAACTTCACGAGCTCGCTCTCTCTGTCTATCTGTATCGCAGAAACATCTGGATCCAGTGAAGGCAGATTGTGTGTGTGTGTGTGTGTGTGTGTGTGTGTGTGTGTGTGTGTGTGTGTGTGTGTGTGTGTGTGTGTGTGTGTGTGTGTGTGTGTGTGTGTGTGTGTGTGTGTGTGTGTGTGTGTGTGTGTGTGTGTGTGTGTGTGTGTGTGTGTGTGTGTGTGTGTGTGTGTGTGGGGGGGGGGGGGTTTAAAGGTGGAAAGAGGCGGAGGGTGACAAGTGCTAGAAAGGGAGAGTGAAGGGAGAAATGAATATCCATGATAACAGCCTGCACATTACAGCTACATTACACACATCCACATAAATATTAATAGATACATTTTTTCCAGAATAATATATATATTTTTAAATTTGGTATTCAAAGTAAGTATTCAAAAGCATGTAGATAGATGGGTACTTTCTTAATCCTTCACAGGAAATTAAACTGTCACAGCAGCAAAAAATAAATTAAAAAAATTGTAGTTTCATTAACAACTGTGAGTTGTTTATATTGTTGTTTTTTTCATTAGGTGGTATTTCCTGGATATTTTTATGCAAAAGTAGTAAAAGTATAAATCACCATCAACTGCTGCTTTAAGTAACGAGTCCTAAATAGTGTTTGCATTTTGCTCCCTCTAGTGATTAAAAAGTGGTTCTGCATTATTTTCGATGCTGTTCTTATTCATGTGTATTTTATCTCAGCAGAGTTTACCACACCGCGAGCCATCTTAACCGGCCATGACTGTGAGGTGACGTGTGCAAGTGTGTGTGCTGAGCTGGGACTTGTCATCAGCGGCTGCAAAGGTGGGATCTGTTTGTGATTTTTTTTTTTGGGGGGCCAAAATATGAAATGCAATACAAAACAATCTTTCTAATTCCCATCATCACGTCATCTTATTTTGTCCAGAGGGTCCTTGTCTGATCCATTCCATGAATGGGGACCTGCTGCGGACCCTGGAGGGCCCCGAGCGCTGCCTGAGGCCTCGTCTCATCCAGTCGTCCACAGAGGGAAACTGCCTGATCTGCTACGACAAGGGCCAGTTCTGCATCTTCAGCGTCAACGGCAAACTGCTGGGCCACATGGAGGTGGAAGACAGCATCAAGGTGAGGAAACGTGCAGAATATCTAGGTTAGCATGCATGTGAAAGGGACCTTGCTCATGTATGTCTGCACCACATCAGGCGGCTCACTGATTAAAGGCTTTCCTTTGGTTTGAGATTTGAGTAAGGTAAGGGTCGAGGTGCCTCAGGGCAAAATGCGCCTTCACGTCCCTTTTATTTCCTTTCACACGCACACACGGGAGGAAATAGTGCTTTTTGATCCAAGGCCCTGTTGTCAGGTTGAATTGCGTTGGCGGTGCTGGTAGAGAACATTCCAGTGGAAGAGTGGTCCACTCTGGACACCAACACCATTAACTTCCCTCCAGCGCAGGACGACACATTCCCCCATTTCCCACATTTCCTCCCCGGTGGTTAGAGTGACACAAGATAGCAGCTACCGCCTTTGGTTTCCCGACCCTGTGTTTCCGGTTTGGCCTGGGAAATGTAAGCCTGCTCTGACAGACAGCCACACGCCTGTTTCCTATTAAGAAACTTCTCGTGCCCCGGCTCCTCTCCTGCCAGCCGGCCCAAACTGAACCCAAATACAACCTGTAGAACATTGATTAATGAGCACTCACAGACACTGATTGATTGTTTAAGTATCAAAGCTAGAACCAAACACTAACTAACCCTCTCATCGGCCTATAGAGGAACTAATAATGTAAAAGAAGCTTTTAGATATTGCACTTTTCCCAGAGATTCTGCTGAAGGAGTAGCAACTTGGGAACAGCGTGGAGGGCTGTTGTAAATTCTGTCGTCAATGTTGATAGAATATGAAAAAATACCAAAATCTTGGGATGACTCTGTGAGAGTCTGAACCTACATCCCCCCCCTGGATCCCTTGGTCTGAGACTCCAACAGTATAGTTCATACCAGAATCAATCTTTTCAGACTCCAGAGCCTCAGCGCAGTATGACTCCAGGATAAATAAGTGTTTGTCCTGGCCTGTAGGATCAACTTAGAAAGATTGTGAAAAAAGGGAAAATGTTTGCTCTATGAATTTATAAGCGTCTGGAGTCAGAGGTGAGATGACAGGCTAACAGTCGGCATCCTAGTCTAATAGCGGAATCAAGTGACAGAAGCCATACTGAATGGATTACAGTCTTTTAAGTGCTGGTATAACTCAGGCAGTGTAACCATCGCAGCACTTTTTTCCCTGCTGTCGCCCGTGTAACAGGGGGATTAACAGCAACATAAATTCTTCTTTTTTTTTTTTTTTTTTACCTTCCCCAGCCCTCACAATCCGCCCACCGTTCCCCTGAAAGAAGTTGGAAATATGGGCATTAAAAGTGCACGTGTTTCTGCTGGAGTCATTTTTTAGTCACCCGAGCCTGAGTAGCCATCTTAGCTCCAGCAGAGCCGTCGACCATCTTGTTTGACCGCCCAGTGGAAGAGGTCTGATTTATAATGTCTGTCTGCAGCCTCCTACCTGGCCCGGCTGACATGTCTGCCAGCACTGCCGCCTCCTGCTGAGCTGCTGTAAGGTCATGGACTCCATTAGTTTATACAAGTGTACATTAATACAGCACAGAACCTGCTGGATAGTTATTATATTTATATTCTGTTTTACTATGTATAGTGTGATGTTAGAGCAGTAGATTACCAAAAAGTCTTTGTGAATGTTAATTAGAACAGTTCATCAAATTTTGTCAGAATTTTTCTTTTTATATTAATTTTTTTAATTTGTCTGTGTGTTTGTGAAAACTATTATACAGAACTATTTAGTGTCTTTCAGCTCAGTGTGTTTGAAACTGTTTTAGTTCACTCTCAGCTTTTATCAAACGTTTCAAACTCCATCCGGTAATTAGGTTCTGTTTAAACACTTGAACAAACTCGCTGAGCGCTACTGGACCAGCATCAACCAGCAGGCGGATCATCCTAAGAACTAGATAACACAGTGTAGCCTTTAGCAGCTTAAAAGAGTTTTTTCAGAACCCAGAGTCAGCGATGAGTTTCAGTTGTCTGTCAATTTGTCTAATTTTTAAAAATATAATATCTGAAGATATCTTCCTGCTCCTGTTTGTTCATGTTTAGTTCATGTTGCCTGTTGGATTATTGTGTTGGAATCATACACTGAAATGAGCAAATAAATCAAATATTTTTAATCAAACATGAAGACTGTGAGGGAGGAATTTAATCAGACTTGACCCAAACTTTTAACTTGGACTAATGGATGAACTGACGAGATTTGAGTGGACAAAGATCCAGCTCCCCTTGAACTCACATCTAACTGATTGTAGTAAAACAAATCTAATGGCATCTCTGCTGCTTGTGTAAAAAAGTCAACTTTGTTCAAATGCTCCCCAAAATAATTACAGTTTAAGGGTGATAATATGTCTCTTCTGCTGCCCTCTAATGGCTCAAAATCAAACAAACGCTACTTTAAAATCTTCAGGTTTCCAGTAAAAAAAAAAAAAAAACGGAAGAAAAGACTGACGTTTTTTTGTCAGGCATAATAAATCCTAATTCTTTCCCCATGCACACGTTGGCACTGTACTTGAGTTAAAATTCATTGATCATGATTTGGTGAATTGAGCATCACATTTATCGTTGTTGTCAGATTAACTCTGATGTTGATACACAAGACAATCAGTGTACACACAAAACAGACCCACTGCGCACAAATCAACCCAGCACTGCACTCTGTCATGCTTCATTGCAAGCCGTCCTGGATGACGAGCTCACGCAGTAATTAGGCCTGATTTGTTCTCGATGCCTCCTGCCAGTGTGCAAGTGCATCAGTGTTTGCGCATTTACAATGTTTCTGTCTTCACATGCAATGTTAGTGTCTGTCTAAAGTGATGAGAATAAGAAACAGTGGTCATTTAATTCACCGTGTGGTAGGAAATTCCACAAAAAGTTTTCATATACAAAGCATTTTGTTAATTTAGGCCACACTCTCCACGTCCATCCCTTGTGTACAACTCGTGAAGGGTTATTTATGTTTTGCTCACCAAGTCAAGTTCCTGAAAATGACTCGTTCCAACTTCAAAACTAAAGTTTAGGTTGAATTTTTCCGTTTAATCTGACGCTGATTCAACACACATGAGGCTGATGATTGAAGTCCTGCTGACTCACTGGAGAGCGGCTGCAGCTTGACAGACGGAGCCGTAAAAACCACAAAGGAGAAAAGCTCTAAATTAGTGTCATTTGCTGCTTTTAGAACTCACATTCTGCCTCGTCATTTCATCGGCCGTGCTCGCCCTCTGATTGATGCGCCTGACTGCTCCACTCTCAGCTTCCAGTGCCTATAATAGACTCCAACACACGACCTGATTTGTGTACGTCTGAATCCCGGGGGAGTCGTTCAGCTGTTACAGTTTGCAGGAAAAGCAGATGAGACGAGTAAATCTCGGAGACTCGCTGTGGGGAGCCATCTTTGTAGCAAGTCTGGGTCTGTCTACAGAAAGACCCAGAGGAGAGGCGGCTCTGACCTGGGATCTTTTGTCGGGTTACATGACCTCGCAGTATGAGCTTTACTCTGACATGAGAGATAAACTGGTCCCAGATCACCAGGCCTATTCACGGGCTATTTATGAATGTGGGTCCAAGCTGAATCCTGTTACTACAAGGTTGTTGTTGTTTTTTTAACCATTGAAGTACAGATTTTCAAGAATGTCAGGAATCACTGAGTCATTTACCATTTACCAGTATGGCTTTAGGCTTACCACGGGAAATAAAATCTGACCCACTACTTTATAAAGTGAAAAAAAAGGAATAAAAATAAGAGTGTTCGGAAATTCTCAATCTAACGAAGACTTTTTTTTTTCTTTCTTCCAGGCGATGCTCCTCAGCCGTGACGGTCAGTATCTGCTGACAGGCGGAGATGGAGGTGTAGTTTCTGTCTGGCAGGTTCACAACCTCAAACAGCTGTTTGCCTACCCGGGCTGTGACGCAGGAATCCGCTCTATGGCCATGTCGCACGACCAAAGGTAAACACACACAAAGTATAGTTCCACCAGAAGTTAGTTTTTTTTTGTTTCATCGAGACATGTTTTATTGATTGAGGATCTCTTTTGTCATTTTCAAAAAATTTGTAAACCACATTTAAAACGTTGAATACTTGTGCACAAGAGCTTGTTTTGAAAGTAACTGTTGTTTGTCACACTCGCTACAGCTGCATCTTCACACACATCTGCACATGACTCTAAAGTAACACACTCTGCGTTAGGAGATTCCACAAAGTAAATAAGAGTTAACAGCAAATATAACCAACTTCACCATCCTTCCTCGTACCTGTCCTCAGGTGCATCATAACCGGCATGGCGTCTGGAAGCATCGTGCTCTTCTACAACGACTTCAACAGATGGCACCACGAGTACCAGACCAGGTACTGAACCGACCACGCAGCACCCCGACTGACCAACTGACTGACGATGATAAAAACTCAACTCTTTGAAGCGTGAACTCTTAAAAGACACTACGCTGTCTAAATCCTGAATGTATCTCATTGAAAAAATAAAAAATAAATATAAACGTGTCCTCTTAAAGTCACAACTATTTTTAAAAAGGGCATTGCTATATTTTGTAGATCAGATAGAACGTTTTCATATAAATCATAGGGGTGGGGGTTACTGTTATTGTCGGTTACAAACAAATCTATTTTTAGCTGTAAGAGTCTATTTTCATCTCCTCTGGGGGAAAGAAACAGGGTCTGTGGGGAGCTAGTGATAAACCTTTTGACTTCAAAATCCAAATATTTGTGTACTTTAGGCTGAGTGATTTTTTTTTTTTTCTTTCTCTTGTAGGTGTGTATGTGGGGAATAATTCTAATTGTTAAGCTATCATTCACTTGATTTCTGCCGTTTTGGCAACAAAGCTTTTTCCATTTTTTTTTGGCTGGTAGATATGACATGTTTGAATAAATGTTAAATGTATTGGACAGAAGGATAAGCAAAGAGGGAATATACGTATATACATATATAAATAACTATATATTCTGTTTAAATGTAGTCATCCGTATTTAAAGTTTCCACCCCCCTGTACCTCTGTGCTTGTTAAGAGATCGCAGTTCAGTGCATGACTCGTATGAAACATATCAGACCTGTCGCATTATCGTTGAGTTCTTTTAACATTAAAAACATGACCTTATACTTACGCTCTGTGATGATGAAGATTAGCATAGGCAGGAGAAGAAGTCAGGAAAATGATGTCAAGGATTTCTTTCTCCTTTATATTTACATTTCTTTCTTAAATGACTGAAGAAGCAAACAGTAAAATCTTATTTTCTGACAGTTAGAGAAACATGAAGAAGAGTGCTAATTAGTCACGACATAAAAATGAAATCATGTCTTCATAACTCAAGCAGAGGCCGGCTCTTCATCTTTAAAGTCTTCTTTGAGTGCTGTCTCCAGAGCAGCTGACAGCAGCGTGAGATGTGCAATGAAAGGAAGGACTTTATTTCAGTCTATGATTCACTCTCTTTTTGTTTCAGCACAGAGGTCTAAATCACGGAATGAGCGATCATGTTCAGACGTGATTGAGCACTAAAACGGCAAAGCGACATATATTCCTTTGGTCCGCAGTAAAAGAAATGTCCACATTGTAACTTTGATTTTGAGGGAAGCATTCCTTTGAAGTTTGCGCTTTGATGATGTGGTGTGAATCTCCACATATAAAATAAACTGCTGTTATGTATCAACCAATATTTTTGCAATCATTTTGGAGTGTTTTGTGTGCTGAGATCTGACAATAAAATTGAATTTTATAACTTCAATTTTCCTTTGAGTTGAGTGTTTTCTTTCATAAAGACCATATAGCCCCCTCTAGTGGCTAAAATCTGGTTGAACACAAATAATCACCACAAACGTGTCTTTTTTTATTGCATTTTTATTGTTTGCTGTACTGCTGTTTGAAAACAGTAAGAACATTAAAGCAGCCACTCTATGACTTATAAACCCCAAGTTTTACATGGATGAGATTCCTGTTTTAAAACAGACTTTTCATACAAATTTCCCTTTACAAACTGCTGATGAAAATCCACATCACTACATGTAGGAGAAGCTAAAGGGCATTATGTACCAACTTGATTTGTGTGTTTGAGGGTTTCATCTTTCAGAGAGGCAGGAAGTGGGGAAAAGGAGTAAACATGCAGCTTTAAATTCCTGAATAGGTAAAGAGGCAGCAACTCAAGGAATTAGCCCTACTTGCACCAGCTGGGGTAAATGATGTGGGTAAACAGGAGTAAAATAATTATACAAATAGAGAAAATCCATCATATTGGGGTGCAAAATGTGGAAACATTTTAAGTTTTAGCCATGTCTGTATTGATAAAGGCATCTTTAAGCTATAAGCTGCAAGCTAGTGGTCAGGCACAAACCCGTCACCCTTAACAACACATTCATTCATAGAAATCCAACAGATCACAACAGTGTCTGTAATACTGGAGGAGCCATGTTTACTAGTTTCATGCAAACCACACAGTTTGTTGTTGTTATTGACTGGTAAATGATGCTATTTGCTATCATGTCTGTTGGATCTATTTTACTATTTTAGCAGTTACGGCTGCTCAGACACACAGAGCCAAAAACAAACCTTCAAGTTTCAGGTGGACAGCTAAGGTTCTTCACACTATGTACAAAGTTTTCACATCAAAGAATACATACAGGGTGGAGTGTGACTAAATGTGTAAGCATGCCTCAGTTACAGTGGGTGAACAAAATATTCTACCAAATGAATTCATGAGTAAGAAAGGTAATGTTAAAGGGGTACGTTTACTAATAAACACAACATTGTATTGACATGCTGAGACTCTTTAATTAGCTCAGGTATTTCATAATAAGCTCACCAAAGATGAGATCCGTAGGGCCCTCAACAAAATAACTAAAAGAGCTTTCTGCTACTTTGCTAATTGCACTTTTTGATAGATGTCTCGAGATAATGTTTGTTGTGAATTGGTATGGTACAAATAAAGATTGATTGGTTGATGAAAGAAACAAAGGTACTCTGCTGTTATATTTTAAACTAAAAATCCTTCACGCTCCACAAAGGAAAAAATACAAAAAGGAAAGTCACCCTTAATGTACAGCACTATTGGCGCCACTTTCTACGAAATCAAAGCTCAGGGCTCATCTTAACTTAATAATAGTGTTTTTTCTCTTGTTTGTTTTCATTTAGAGTAGAAGGACAATTTTATATCTTAAGGCCTCTTAATGTTTTTAAATAAAACAATTTTAATCTTTGGTTTTCATGGCCAAGAAATAAGAAATAGGCTTTTTTTTTTTTAAATAAAGGGGGCCTTAATAGAAAGAAAATGAACAGGTCACTTCCCAAAAACACACAGAACCCCCCACCACCCTGATGATTATTGCCTTCAACGTAATTAGTCTGAAGTGCTTTGGCAGATGTAACTACTATTTTGTCCACCCACTGTACTGGTATGTTGTAACAATTAATATAATCTTAAATTCAACATTTTATATGCAGTCTCCATCGGGATTAGCTGAGAAAACACTGGTAGTGGTTAGAGTTAGTTAACACTACGGGTAGCTAGGCTAGCAGGCTGAGATGTTTGATATGCTGAAATACTCCCATCATGAACTCACTGTTTCTTTGATAAAGCAGGAGGAGTGTGTGTGTGTGTGTGTGTGTGATGAATTACTATTTACAAAACAAATAGGCAGTCAAAGAAGGAGAATAAATTAAAGAAATCATTCACAGTAACATGACTTACAAAGACAAACCACTCAGAACAGTGATATATTCATTTCTCCACATCCTCCATTATTAATAAATACAAACATGTATACAGTCGACAAAGTCAGAGAAAATGCCTTGAATCCTCCGTCTCTGAAAATGAGTTGGATGAGAATAAAAGAAAACATGGACGCAGCGGTCTCTGGCTCAGTTTACAGCTACTGGAAATGCTAAAGATGGAGTTTTTAGCCTCCTCTTGTGTTTTCTAATTCACACACGTAAGGTCAGGGGCGAGAGGAGTGATTGGCTGCAGAATTATCGTTTAAAACTGCTCTTGAATGAGCTCTTCATCGAGGAGATGACTGGGAGAGGGAGGAGTGGTGGATCTAGGAGGTGTAGAAGGAGGAGAAGGGAACAGCATTGGATGGATGGAAGAGGGGGAGGGGGGTTCTCGATTGGCCGAGGAGGACAGAGGGAAGAATACAACAGGTTTCACTGGGGAAAGTAGGGAGGGGGATGCTTGTTTAGTGGGAGAGGAACATGGGGACGTCTCCTCTTTGGTAGGAGACGATGGGGTTTGTTTGGTGGGAGGGGACAGAGAAGATGGCAGACATTTTATTGGAGAAAGAGAGTATGGTTTGTTGGGAGATGAGGGAGAATCTGAAGCTGATTTGGAGGGAGAAAAGGGGGCAGAAGGACAAGCTGGTTTTGTAGAAGGGGAGGAAGAAGATGGAGATGTTGTGGAGGGAGAAGGAGGAGGAGAAGCTGATGTGGAAGGAGAAAAGGGGGGAGAGTGAGAGGTTGGTTTGGTTGGAGAAGAGGGAGGAGAAAGAGAAGCAGGCTTGGTGGGAAGATTTGAAGAAAGACAAGCTGGGTTTGTAGGAGAAGAGGAGATTGGGTCTCCTTTGGTTGGAGATGATGAGGAATGATGGGAGGAAGGTGTGGAGGGAGTTGTGTGCATAAAAAGCTCAGGAGGAGTAGAGGGCGATGGAGGTTCCAGAGATAGGTAAGGAGCAGAGAAGGGTGAGGTTTTTAATTCAGGAAGAGGGGACACAGGCAAAGAGGTGATGGGGAAGGTTTCAGCAGAAGGTAAAGGGGAGAAAGGAAGTGAACTGATGGGAGCAGAAGGATTCTCAGGTGCGTCGAGAGGAGCGGTCTCGATGGCAGGTATTGGTTCTTTGGAGTGTGACGCTGGTGCAGGGAGAGAAGCTGGTCCTGACTTTGGTAGGGGTGCAGTTGGGACTTTCTTGCCAGCTGACGATGGTGAACACGGCTTGTTTTGGGGTCCTGGAAGATGACCGTTGGTGAGCTGGAGGGTCTCCTTATCTAGAGCTGTGTTCTAACAAAACAGACAGACAGAAAGACCCTCAGCGCTGACCTCTGAAGTTCATAAACCAACTCTCAAAGCAGAGAAAGGACAGATATTGTAACTCAGTGGACACTGAGTTTAGGGGACCCGTTTTAAAAACTGTTGATGAGGGATTTAGCTTTAAGAATCAACTACATGAGTATGTTTCACTACAATCAATAACTGCTGTGCTGACCTACAGTAGTTTAGTCTTTTTGATGATCTCTACGAATGAACAACAATGATGCTAATGGGGATGAACACAAGTGGTGGAAGGACATATTAACAAAAGGACAGAATTCTTGGCACAGTCACAGACCCCACGAGAAGGAAACAGAGATCATCAGAGCTTATCTATGAGCAGAAAAAGGGCAAATGTTGGAGTAGACTTTCACTTTGTCATTAAACACAGATACATGCATGGTGTTTTTTTTCTCTTGAGTAAAGCCAATTGATGTGATCTAAACATGGGACACAAATAGTAAAGGTCATGTTCCTCATTTGCCCTTGTGCTGAGTCTCAGCAGCAGAACAGACGAGGCGGAGCGTTCAGTGTTAGTACATACCGGTGCCTTGCAGCTAAATCAGAGGGGGCGTTATGCAGGGAGAGGGGAGAAGCAAAAAAAAAAAAAGGGACAGAAACTAGTCTTACTCACAGCATCACAAACATATGTTCCAACATAACAAGCATGACGGCCAGTGGACAGTTGGTGTTCCAGCTCAGCGGCAGTCTGCGTTTTCAGATACTTTAACCGTAGTCCAAATCGAACTGACACGTTGCTTTTCAGAGCAATGATCGTGAATAGTAACAGTAAAACGTAGAAACTTAAAAACTAAGCTATGCTACAATTACATTCTTCTCAGTAGACTTCAATCTAAGGTACGATTTCAATTTATTAGCTTTAAATTACAATGCTTTGACTGATGATTTTCTGTGACTCTGAGCATATGTTGATGTATGTCCAGGACACTCTTGTAAATGAGGTCTTTCTGGTTAAAGACAATTTAAATGAAAGAAAAATAAAACAAGGCTGGTAATATTCTGTATCTTTCTAATTATCAGCAAAACTTAAACTGACTTAAACCAATAGTCTTAAACTTATATATTCTAATATTGTTTGTTCCTCTGTGCTAAAGGGCTCTATTTTAAAAGACAAACTGTTGCACTGGATCTCATGTTCGTTAAATAACAAACACTGAAATCATTTGAATCAGTCCCACTTACACCATCCTGCTACTTTTGATAAATGACTAATATGTAGCCTGCAATAAAATAATATTTTTTTGAAGTTAGTTTATTTTTCTGTAATGATTTTTATTGATCAAAGTCTCTTGTTTTACACTGAGTAAATGCTCACACGCTCTTATTATTTTATTTTGGATATAAAAACTTTTCAAAGGAAAACTGTTACTTGTTTTTTTGTTCAATAAAATATAGAGAAAAATATTCCTATGAAACAACCAAATTGATCCCGATCGGGTGTCGTTTCCTCAGAACAGACCAGTCATCTTAGAAAAAGGTATTTTTTTTTATTTTTATCAAAATGTATATTGGGTTACCACTCTTACAGATTTAAGTCGTATTGTACCTGAATGGACTGGTGCTGAGAGTCAATAGACAGTGAACAGATGTTGACGAACTAAAAACATTAACAAAAAGAAAAACGCAGACAAACGTCAGCCTTATCTTAAAATGTGCATCGGAATCTTCTTCGCAGGGCCTTTCAGCCACATTGGTTTGCTTCCATCTCTGCAAGTTGAAACCTCCAGAATTGTTTTCTGTATGTTTTCCACAAGGTGGCACCAGAGTACCATTAACCGTGAACTATGCTAGGCACCGACTACATTTGATTTGAAGGAGGTATATTCTCTAAAACAAAAATGACTCCTGGCAGAGAGGGAAGCAACACAACACTGCTCTTGCATTAGCTTAAAATAGCATCGGTAACATGCTTAATAACTTCTTCAAATATGTGATTAAACAAACATCCTCCAAAACACAAGAAGATAATTTACACACACCATAAAAAAAGTTTGTGTTTGATACAAATGTGAATGAAATGTGAGTGAAGGAAGCAGAACAATGAGGGGTGATTTCAGGACAGAGTGCATGTTGTGTTAGCGATGTCCACATCAGTTGATCATTGTTAGCAGTTACTGCAGCTGGTGGTCAGAGGAGTTGGGCAGGGGGCCTGAGAAAGAAACAGGAAGGGAAGAGAAGGAAGGGAAAGCAAAAGGAGGGTGAGGGGAAGGGAGATGGCTGGAGAGGAAGAAGGCCGGCAGGATGAATGGGGGTTGGGGGATGTATGAAGTGTGTACCAAGCTCTCAGCTCCAGGCGTCCCCTGTGGTCCTGGGTCGAGTGTGAGGGAGGGGTGAAGAAGAGGATGGAGGAAGAGGATGGAGAGGAGGTGGAGGAGGAGGAGGAGGCCGAGGCCAGGGCCGAGCTTACACCTCAAACTGTCAAATGAGATTTAAAACAAATAAATGAGGATCTTTACGGGAGGGATCGAATCAGATCTCTCGTGAGAGGACCCCCCTCCCTTTTCCTGCTTTCAGTTCTGATGTACAGTATAGCCTGAAGTGAAAGGGCTGATGGTTAATGTGACCTGATGACACGAGGAGAGGAGGGGATGTTGAACTGTACAACAGGAAGTGACGCCACAGGAAGGAAGGATGTGACCACTAAGGTTATGACTTCTTCTGCCTCCTGCTGATCTTTCCATCTCTAAAATCTCGTCAGACATGTTTACAGTAACATAAGATGTTTCTCTGTAGCCTCTTGGATGATGAGTTCAGCCAGATATTTTTTGGGCATATGATTCATAAAAAAAAGTGAATTAGAAAGGGCTCAGTTTTCTGTATTTGGGTCAGACATTCCCCACCATGCAGTGAGTGTTTGGAAAAGAGCCTGACATGTCCAAGCTGTTCAGGACACCTCTATGATTACTGTTAAATCCCTGTCAACCCCTCAGTTTACAATACCATCGAGGGCACAAGATTATTCTCTTCAATATGTAAAAAATAAAGAATATCAAAAAAAAGAAAATCTGCAGCACATCTGCAGTCAAGATACTGGTGATATTTGGTAAATCATGAGTGTTTTGTGAACGATTCTTGGTGCTTACCATGATGACAGACACCCCAGCTGTGGTGTTGTTGTACTTAGGCGCAGTGTCAAAGTGTGTCTTCAGTTTACCTGTGACCTCCATCTTCATGTTGTTCTCCATGCCTGTGTCATCCTAGCACACACCCACACACACACACAGACATGCAATGAGGTGGAGTGGTTCGATGGGTTTTGCACACAAATATTTTTCCGGTTTGTACGAGTCGAAGCAAATACACCATATTTGGAGGTTGCGGGACATGCAAATATAGACAAAGCAGTGCTGTGAGATACCGTGACCCAGGGGTGGGAGAGGATGTCTTGTGCGGTGTATCGGGCCTCAGCATTGACGGTCAGCATCTTTCCAATCAGCTCCTGCAACAAAACAAAAGATGCGGTAATCTAGATCAGCACTTTTGGATTTCTTGCTGATGTTTTAGTTCTACACATAACTGTTTGATGTAACACTATTCATTGCACTAAAAAGGATCATGAGGCATTTTTTCATACACCTTTAGGGCAGCTTTTTTTCTGCTTAAATGGGCAAACATTTCTCGAGTCGATAATAATATTGTATTAGCAACAGCTACCCACATACAGTATGCAACCTGCAGTTAACGGCTGGCAGTAGTATTTCCTGTTTCTAGTTATGTGATGTATATACGATAAGTATAATATCATCACTAATCTTTTAGTTAGTGGACTTCTGAGCGTATCCACTGTTTAGAGCTGAGCAGGAAGCGCACAGTAGTTTAGCCACATTTTCTTCCGTGAACCGGTGGTGTTAAAATAAGAGATATTGAACTACAAAAGCCATGAGCTGGTATCATGTATCGCGTGTTCTTGCAGGTCAAATCCAGCCTTTGTTAAATGTCATCCTGCACAGCTACACCCATGCAAGTTGTTTCATGCCGAGTGTCTCAAAGTGTGCACTTTTCCAAAGTGACAGGGCCTCTGTGACAGCACCGACTTTAATTAGCAGGCTGGTGTTGCATGCTGAGCACGAGCTGTCACTTTAATACATGACATTAATTTAGAGGGCGGGAGGAGGTCCTGTGTCCTTCGGCCGACAGCAGTCATTAAATGGGTGGGAATTATGTGGGTTCACAGGTAGTGTGTTATTTTAAACTGGAACGTTTGGACCTCACTGCTCTTAGTTTAGTAATGTTTAAACTTTTTTCCAGCTGTGTCAGGAGGTTAGGATCAGACTATGCATTGGTTTGTGTTATTCTGAGGAAATGAATAGGATCCATGGTGTCTTCAAAAGTGAAATAACTGGACATGTGTTGTTTTGTGTGTGGCACTAACCTTGGCTGAGTCAGTGATGTTGTCCCAGTAAGGACTGGGAAAGTCAAGCCGTCCCAGAAGGATCTGGTCAAACAGATCCTCTTGCAGGTTACTCTCACTGCATGGGAAGAAAACCAGACACTCAGCGAACACATATTCACTACTCTAATACAGCACACATATCATACATCTACACTACGTGTACTGCACTCTGCGTAAATATAAACAGCCTTTTGCAGTATACTTTAATTATGTGGTTATAATAGTTGCATTTACTGCTATAGATTAAACATGGATTTCTAAATGTAGTAAAATCTTTCCAAGGCTATGACTGCAGGCTGGCAATCTTTATCAACTACTGCAGGAACTGTGAGTCTATGTAGCAACAGAAAGTCAACAGTCTTAAAAAGTGACAAATAATGTGGAGAGATCCTTTTTCATTTTGTCTTCTATAAAACTTAAACTTAAAATAAACTTCTATATATTGTTTTTTTAAACCACAGGATAACTTTAGTATTTCAAACCACATGATGACTTTAGTATTTGATCTTCAAATTGTTTGAGTTCAATCCTAGGCTTTACTAAACGATATATAAACTCAGGATAAGTTACCTTCTAAATGGAGGGAAGCCACACAGCAGGATGTAGGTGATGACACCTGCAGCCCAGATGTCAACCTTCAGACCGTAGCTGTGGAAGAAGGCGACACGTGGACACAGCAAAGGTCGGTTAAGAATACACTTCAGATCCCTGACACAAAACAATGAAACAATGTACAATGTTTCCACATTTTGTAAGGAAAAACTTTATCAATGTTTTTTAATGATATCAAAAGTTCACACACCAAAGCAACAATAGGTGAAGTCACATCTATACTGTTGTGGTTTTTTTTTAACTCAGTAAAACACCAAAACTCCCTTTTTGCCAGCTAGATATAAGAAGAAATTGTGAGGTGTGATTACCTTAGATAAGCTTTGAATCACAGTTTAATGTCTGTTTGCCGTTCTTCATGTCTTACACAGTTTCTTTGTTTGCGACCTGTTTCTGATTAATCAAAAATATCACTAAATTGGCACCAATAATTCTGAGGGCAGCTGATAGCTAGCTTGTGCTTAATCTGACTGCATGAAAATGGTATGAAAGCAAGCCAATAAAACCTGCATGCTGAGTGAGAAGGCATCTTATTTACACAGGATCATTTACTGCTATAAATGTTTACTGGGAATGCTCATTTCACCTTAACGCTAAAAAATCACAGCCCTGCAGGTCCCCTTTGTAAACTACAACTGTACATAGAACAGATGTTTCTACTCACACCGACTTACAAATCAATGAAAACAAGCATGTTAAAGGAAGTAAAATATGACTTACCCACACTCAGAGATTATTTCTGGAGCCACGTATGTAGGTGTACCACACACAGTATACAAAGGTCCCTCCACCACTGTGGCAAGACCAAAGTCCCCGAGTTTCAGTGACTTGGTGCCATCTGGATACTCAAACACCTTACAGAAAATGCATGCTTAGTAAACCCTTAGCTACTGTATGATTCGATCAAAAATCAGTGTGAGTGTGAGACATACCAGCAGGTTCTCAGGTTTAATGTCTCTGTGGACAATGCTCATGCTGTGCAGGTACTTCAGAGCTGCAGCCAGATTGTACACCATGACAGTGGCGTCTCTCTCTGTGTACTTGGCCGAGGAGGTGATGGCATCGAATAAATCCCCTCCCTGTGTCAACATCAAAGTAAAGCGGTTAAACATGAAACTGCACTAAGACATGAGGATTGTGTTCTCCCCCATTAGCCTCTAGTGTACCTTGACAAGCTCCATCACCAGGTAGAGCTCAGAGGACGTGTCCACCTCCTCTACCAACATGATGATGTTGGGATGTTTGACTCTCCGTAGCACAGCGACCTCATTTTCTATGAGATGCTCCTGGAAACACGCCAAAGCATATAATCTAAGTGAGTACACAGGCTTTCGCACAGAGGCCATTATGCTAATAAAAGGACGCTGCATTGTTGATTCAATCTGAAATGGTGTCATGGGTGTGTGATTGTGCAACTGTGTCTGAAGGCAACATACACAGAAAGACTGAAAGTGAAAGAGGTAGAGGTAATGTGATGAAGAGGAGAAAAAAAAAAGACAGAGCTAGACCTTTCCACTGCACTTGGCCTTGTCGATGATCTTTAGTGCAAATTCTTTCCCCGTGGACCTGAAGAGAAACGGCGCAATTAGAGAAAGCAATAAAAACAGCACTGACTCTGCAACTTTGTCTATAATACAGATCAAGTGCTCACAAGAGAGCTGCAGTTACAGTGAGCAGGAGCACGGCCACAGGGTTTGTTGGAAACCTATGTTGGCTGTAATAGTCAGGATTATAGAGGTAAGAAAAAAAAGAAGGCAGAATCTGAGACCACCCACTTTAAGAGTAACCTAACACTTGACAAAGAGTGTTTTTTTTTTTTTACTTCCATCTCAGGTTGAAAGTTTCAGGTTTGACCTCAAGCAGCTAATGGAGGTGGCGAAGCTCTGTTTCACCTGTAATCACATTTAACAGTGATGTCACACAGACACACTCTGGAGGTCACTTCTACATCCATTGTGTTCTGTATATATACAGATATAGTATATAGTACATGTATATATATATATATATATATATATATATATATATATATATATATAGTCTTCATATCTGTGGTACATTCTGAAAGGTCATTGTGTTTACTTTGTATACTTTCGTTTGTTTACATGATAATCCACAGGGAACCTTTCAGTACTTTCCATGATGGTGCACCAGATTATAAGGACACACACACTTCACCTCCTCGGATCATCATCACCCCCATTGTCTTCCTGAGCGGTGTGTTTACTTAGAGATTAAAAGGCTAATGAAGCGAATTCACCGCTGGGTTTAATCCATGGGATATTTCTGTCTCCACAATGCCCTGTCATCAGGACTTAGAAAGCCTGATGGAGCCGTTACAGCATGTGATGCAGTAACCGCTTATCATTTAGGCCCACAATGCAGCAGGCTGCTGTGTGATCACTGCAGACAGCTGCCAGCTGTTCATTCAACATTCCTAGTGTGATTGAATTTGTTTTCACCTACCTCTCCACGCACTCTTTGACCACAGCAAAGTTGCCATCCCCGATAATCTTGCCAATCTTGTATTTTTCAGAGATGGTGGAAGCAGGCAGGTTGCCATTAACTGCTGAGGAGAGACAGAGGTTACAGAAGGACACAGACGAGATTTTCTGTTTCATAAAACTACAGAAGCTCTGGCAGATAGTCAACAAGTTCTCAGACTGAATTATGAGACCACACACTGTGCAACAACATCACACACAAACTGCAAGATGCACAGGGGACTCTACTTATCCTCATGTAGTGAGCAATATTAGAACACATGCAAACATAAAATCATTTAGTTACAGTAAGTACCAGCTAACACAGTGGGGGAATATTCCACTTATCCTCCACATGAGGCCTACTCTGCAAAAAATGTGTTTGGTAAGCAAATTTTGAAATGTGCCCTGATTGGATCATTTTAATGTGGCAGTAAATGTCAACCCCATGCACTGAAGGTAAGGGAGTCTGTGCAAAAGTGTCTACTGAGTTTGCAAAGGACACGGAGAGGAGACGAGAGGAGAGGAGACGAGAGGAGAGGAGAGGAGAGGAGACGAGACGAGACGAGAGGAGAGGAGGGAAAGGACGTACCCTCTGGACTTGGTAGATTTGTTAGCTCCTGGTGATTGTTCAATGAGCCATTTACATTTTGTGAAGAGATGTGATGTGAAGGAGGAATCTGCAGGATGCAAAAACAAACACAAAAATAGAGATAAGCGCCAGGCCTAAAACAACACCCTAAGAAAAATAACCATGGCAACCTAAGTGCCCACAAGAAACTGGCTGATAAACAAATTGTGTTCATTAATGTTACATGAAATTATAGTTGATTTTTGACAATTTGTTCCTTGGAATGTTACAGAGGATATTCAAAGGAGAAACTTGTTGTTGGGTCTTAGTATAGAAGTTAAATTTACAATAGCACAGCCTGCATATACTGTGACACTTTTTTTTTTTCACTTAAACAGCCAACTAGGTCTAAATTTAGCTTGTCCTTTAAAATGTGCAAGGTGTCAGACCTCCTGGAAAGGATCTGCTCCTCCGCATCCACTTATCACTGCATATAAAACTGTTACGGCTGCAAATGAATCTTTAATTTGTTAAGAGCATCGACTCTGCAGAGCACAGCAGTGGCAACTTTTGCCCTTTCTTGATAAACTTTATCCATAAATTTATGCCAAAAGCTTAAAAATCAGACCAGTGATCTTTAAGCTGTACATTACCTTACTGTGCATTTACTTACAGTAAGGATCCATTATTTAGCCTTAACTGTTAGCCCTCTGGACACACATAGAAATGGGACGCCCATCACACGTTTTTTGAATACTCTATACATAAAAAAGCTTTCTCGTCTGGTACATAACTTTTTCATATGGCATTAGTTCAACTGTCAACCTACATGCAGGTAGTTGATGATAAAGAGTGGGAAACTGTGTCATTACTCTTGTGCTTCCTGGTGTAGTTTTTAAAATGTTTTTACACTTTTTACCCTCAGCTTCTGCCAGTGACTTTTAGAGCTGTCATTGAATCATAAGTATATATTATCCAGCCAAATGAATTTTACTGGGCTTAGAGAGACATGGTGGTGGTCTGCAAGAAGTCTGCCAGCTGGCTGCAGGCGTAAGAAACTCTGTAGGCTGGGACTAACATGAAGCTTACAGAAAAATCCATCGATTAATCAGATTAGTGTCCCAGACTCTCCCAAAATAAACACCAAAAAGCTACAACACTTGCTGTCCACAGATCTGTGGTCAGACGGTCAGTGACTCGATGACTTAACTTTACAGACATATTGAATCATTTTGTGGTAAGTAGGTCGATACCATCAGGCATGTTGGATAGTTCAGGCCTTTAACAATATTGGATTTTTCAAATGGTGCTCATTTTCTGAAAGTTAATGTTAAGTGTTGAAAGCTTTTTTCCTTAAAGGTCACATATTGTGCAAAATACACTTTAAAATGTTTTTCTAACACTAATACGTGTCCCTGGCCTGTCTACTAACCCCCCAATTATGAAAAAAATCCACCTCCTCTGTCTTTTGTGTTATCCACTTTTCAGAAAAGGTGTGCTCAAACAGGCTGTTTGGAGATTTTCCCTTTATGACATCACAAATGGCAGTAACCCCTCCCCCAAGTGCAATGACACTCCCACAGCCAGGGGTTTGTTCGGTCCTCTATGTCTGCCTTCTCACCATAAACAATAGGACATGGTGCAAGAAAGCCCAGGCCACCCCCAAGCCCTTCTAGAGAGGGGCGTGGTCAAACATAGCTCACTTACATTTAAAGCTATAGACACAGAAACAGCCTGTTCTGAGCAGGGCTGAAATTGTAGGGTTTATAGATGTAATGAAATACAAGATCAGAGCGGAATTTTAGTAAGGAACGTCAAAAACATGTTTTGGGGAGCTCTGGGACTTACCTAAATGTGTTAAAAAGGAGGATAATATGTGACCTTTATTTTTTCTGTTTCTTTTATTCATAAATATACCATACACACATGTACTGTATAGATATAGATGTGTTTGAATTAAGTCTTATGTGTGCAGATACAAACATCTACTGTGCACTTGATACTCATGGATGTGATTAGTTGTCATACCTTAAAACCAGAAACAGTTCCGGGGCTGGTTGGAGACGGAGTAGAGGACTTGGTGGACTTCGGAGTTGAGATCTGACTGCTTGAGACACCATTCACTGTATGAACACATAGCACATGAGAACAATGGAAAGAGTTGTCCTCATTGTGGCAACGTGTTAGTTTACATGTGGTATCCTGTTTCCTTAGTGTGCTCATGTAACATGTTTGCCAAAAAGAAGAGCTACAAATAAGCCATACACATAATCTAACACTCAATAAATACAGCATCAAACCTGTAATATCAACTTCTTTCATTGTCTGTAGATGGCCCACATCAGCAGTTGTATTGAGCAAATTGCTGAACTGAATGATAATATTGTGAATGTAGACTACACATTGTAATAGAATAGTTAAGTTCAGTTTAAAGTGTAAATGCTTTGGTGTTGGTGTCACTATCCTGGCAACAAATGACTTCCTGGGTGCTACTGTATAGCAAGTCATCCTCATTATACAGTATGTGTGTGTAACACAAGGTATAAAGGCACTCAGCAGGGGTGAGAGCTTCTTTTGTTTGAGTGATTCGCTTTCTAACGCACAGACTATTTCTGCCTCACTCTCCCTCGGTTCCTGGCACAAACATAGAGACATAATGCGTCAAACTTAAACGTCTCTTCCTCTGCATAAACCCAGCTGAGCTGTTGAGAATCTTCTCACACTGCCTACAGGCTGCGTCTTTGCACTTCTATTTCAGAGTTTTTGTTTCATCCTACAATCTTTAAAAAAAAAAAAAAATCCCTCATTTACTTTTCTCTCTGGGTATTTTTCTATAAGTTATTTGGTTTAGGAAGTTTTGAAGCAATATTTCAGAATAACTCAAATATTCTACAGTACATTTCATCAGGCTTTAATGTTGTAAAAGTTTAGTTTAACTTCGGAGCACCTCAGCTGCTACAGATGAAAAGGCTTGTGATTTAACTGGTCGGTTAGAGCAGAATTTAATTAAAAGCTAAATGGTGAGTCTTATCAGTGAACTTCTTTGAATGATTGGATTCTGCAGCAGCTGGCTTTCAAATTAGGAAGCTGTGAGTATAATAAATGGCATCTTGTGGTCTTGTCTGTGCCAGAGGGACAGGGGGGGTGAGAGCCACTTATGAAACCTTGCCTAGTTTAGGCATCAGGCTCATATCTGAGCCTGATGATATCTGAACATTTAGAATTGGGAGGATTATAAATGTAAAATGTGGAAAGGATGTGTTGACACCTATGTTGTAAGGGTGCGTTCCGTTTAATCTTGGAAAATGGAAATTCTGAGTAGCCGTCATTAGGCACGCTCCCTGTAGTCGGAATGCCAACTTAGAAACCTGAGAACCTTTAGTAACCCCAAGTTCATATTCAACACGGCTGCTGCATGCAAATTCAGTAACGTTTAAGCTGTAACTATTGTGTTTACTGGCAACTTATTCCTCTTTTTGTGTAATTAAAATAATCACACCGATAGTATCAAGTTCTATCTGTGCACTTGTTGTCATGTTATTTTTGCACGCAAACTATGATGTAGTTTGTTGTTATAGCCTTTTATTAGCTAACGAAACAAAGGTACTCCAGGAGGCGTCAGTGTTGCCTGTACGACTTGTTACCAACTTGTTACTGGAACACGGTTAACTTGGGAGAATTCCCAGCGCTGAGATTCGAGGTAAATGGAGAGCACCATTACCCATAGGAACAGGAAAGCTCCCTGTTTCATGGTACATCTGCACTTTGACATCTGTTGCTCCGACTACTAACTTTTAGACAATACGTTTTGAACGACTTCAGTTCTTAAGTGCAACTACTTGTGACTATTTTTTTTTTTTTTTAAGGTTTATTTTTTGGCTTTTAATGCTTTTATTTTAGAGATAGGACAGTGGACAGAGTCAGAAATTGGTGGGAGAGAGAGAGAGGGGAATGACATGCAGAAGAGGAGCCACAGGTCAGATTTGAACCTAGGCCGCCCGCCTGGAAGGACCAGCCTCCGCACATGGGGCACGTGCACTCACCACTATGCTTCCGGCACCCCAGATGTGATAGCTTTAACCGCAGCTAATTAAAAAATTTAAATTAGATACACTGTTGAAGTTTTCACAATTCTGTTCTATACATAAAGGAGGCTTTGTTTGCTGACTATAACTATAGTTCTTGCAGCTAAGTTGTTAAAATGCTACGGTTAAGTACAGAATGTTTCACAATGTAAGCATGTAACTTAATTTGTTAGCAAGGTAGCATGCTAACTTCTGGCCTGTACGTTAGAGGTAGAAAAAGAAAAGAAGACTTTAAACTGACTGACAATGCTCGAGTAGCAACCTTTAAACCCCCATATTCAGGTAAGAGGATGGTTTACTTGGTTTACTCTTAAACTGTATCCTGATTTACTTTGTAAATTGATTTGGCAGGAGTTCTGCTTTCTAAAACCGCATGACACCAACACCCGGCCTCACCTGGGGATTTGATTGGAGACTGGCTGGTGCTGTAGTGGACCGTGTGTCTTACTGCAGTGTCAGAAAGCAGAAACAGAAAAGAAACAAAGAGATAACAGTCAGAGAAATATAAAGACAATCTGATAATGACATACTTTTAAACATTCAAGGCTGAACTTAGACTGTAATACTATAAAGGGACAACCTCTAACATAACTCCTCTTTAAACATTATGTAACGGTTTGGAGGACACTCATTACTCAGCATAATGCCACCATAGCTCAATGCAGCATACAAATTGCTTAGTCACTTGTCAAAGCTTTAAGATGAGGCAGCAAATAGAAAGCCCCTTTTCACTCAGCCTGTCAGACAGAAATGTACTTAAGTTCTTAACTGTCAGATCAGATAAAAGCAAAGCTATATTTGTGGAAAACATTTTCACATTACTGATGTAATACATTGCAATACTTTTTTCTACTAGCTAGTTTATTATCTATTTAAAACATATATACAGTAGTTTAACCGGACTATGATTCTAAACTATCTATTGCACGTGCATAAAAGTTGTGTTTCTTACCTGCACCAGGGGACTTGCTGCGTCGTGAAGGACTCTTAGCTGTCCTGTTTGGAGTAGTGGACCGACTGTGTGATGACTTCACCACTCTGCATTCTGGGAACAAAACAGACTCCAGGTCAACATTGTATATATTATCGTTCTTTTGTCTTTTTCTCACACAGAGTTAATATGCCACAGTTCAGCAAACAAGCTGCAGAGGGATGTGAGAATATTTGTATGTGGCATGGTTTATTGAATTCTGTGTACACAAAGAACAACAGCAGAGAGTATTAAACAGATTTTTTTTTTAAAAGCATGGAGGAACGAATAAGGTAGCTGATATTGTGATCAAGTTAGGGCTAAGCTACATTTTCATACAGTGACACACACATATTACTTGAAAATGCTTGACAAAAGTTCTGGTCCAAATACTAAATGAATACTTCTTTAGTTAGTGTATCCAGTGGATATCTTACTTCTCTGTTCTGACAGGGAAAGGATGCTTTTTTTTTTTTTTTTTTTTTTTGGATAGTGCAACTTTTTTCATTTCTTATTTCCCCCTAACAAGCCAAACTTTGCACCCCTTCAACACCTACATTCTTAAGAGCAGTTAGCAAAAACACATTCAGCAGTCATTGTGGTTGCTCATAATCTAAAAATGAATCCCTAACTTTATTTGATACACAGTCTGTCATCCATTACTATCTCTGGCATAGCAATAACAACGGCTTATATAATAGTGTGTGGATAATGTAGATAATGTACTGGTAAATAAAATGAAATAAACATTGCACACAAGGGCCACATAATATCAATTCACAAGCTTTGTTTTTTTTTCCTGGTGTTTGCTGCAATGCCACTGCTTTTTTGGGGGGTTTTAGTTGTGTATCTGTGTGCAGTAGGAGCAGATGTTGTAATGATGCTTGTGGTTAACTTGTCAGGACGGTGTTAATGAGGGTGGAGGCGGTAATGAAACAACACACATGAAAAAGAAAACTCAACCACAGGGCATTCTTAATGTGTTCTCCAAGCTATTTAGCACCAGACACATATTTCACTGATTAAAAGAGGCTCGACATCTGGCATGTTGTATGGTGTACATATGAGACCCTGACTGAATAAACTTTTTACTGCAACAACCGGAAACGAGCATATTAATGTGTAATTAGAATATTCCATTTAAAAAAGTTCATATATGCTCAGCTTTAGGTTTCTTTTTCTTTTTTCTTTTTGTTAAGCTGCATTTTTACATCTGAATATTTCTTACAATACTAAAAATTTAGTAAAAAACTAAGATGCATGTCAGCATTCCTGCATTCCTGTTGTTTTTTTTCATTCAATGTTTGTATGGACTGGACCTATTTTGCAAAAAGAAAGAGCAGCATCCGTAACTCCATCAGAGAGTACTGTGCGCCTTTTTTTTTTTTTTTTACTCTTTCAAAGTCCTACTTCTTAAATGTAGAGCACAGGACTGTAAGTGGAACAGACTCTACAGACTCTAAGAATACGATCAAACCACCATCACTCATGCTCAGCAACAGTTAACACAGTGTGTGTTCGGATAGGCTTCCCTGTTGTTAGCTAACCTGAAAAAACAACACAAAAGTACACACAGGATGCCAATACTTTGAACTGTTACTATAATAAACTTCTTCCTTCCCACAAGGTTGTTGGTGTTGGCGGAAGTTATGCACAGATTTGACAGTGAATGAACTTGCTGGTTTAAACAGGTCAAATCCTGCCTGTGTGAAAGGGAACTTTGTGGCTTTTCCTCAAGATAAAGTGGTATCCAACAGGGAGTGTGTACAATATGCTGTGTGCAGAACATGAACACAAAGGTGTACACAGATATAAGTAAAATATGAAAGTTCTGAATAAAATAAGAAAGACAGAGAAAAAAAAGGAAAAATATAAACAGTATAATACACACATTTCCTTCCTCCCTGTAAACGTCTGCAAGGAAAAGAGTTCTGCAAGCACTAATGAGGACAGAACGGTGAGGGAAGGACACACACAAACACCACGACGAATGTTAAGTTAGTCTTAGTCAGGCCTACCAGTCATAAAGGCTGTGGAAGCCTTACCGCTCTGATCCAACAGAAAGTCATCCTGGGCATAGCGGTGCTTCTCAGGGCCACATGCTATGAATACGTCATCGTTCCCAAAGAAGTCCTGCAGGCAGGTAATCTGAAGGAAGAAGGACAAGGAGGCAGGTGTTACGGAAAATGTCAAATTTATTCTCGATGGCACAATAGGCATGTACTTGTTTAAAATGCAGATGCTGTTTTAAAGAAACAGAAGAGAAAAGCAGCATTACAATAGTTACACTGATGCTCTGTGACAGTTCTGCATGATGAATTTTAATTTTGAGTTTTTTAGTTCTTTCATACAGCTATGTACAGCTTAAGACTATTACTACTTAATCAACTGGTCACACATACCACAGTGCATTTAGAGATTATACCTATGAAAGGAGTCATAGTCCAGATTCATGTATAGTGGCCTTAAACATGAACTTACACACTGCAACACAACACACATTCCTACAAAATAATCTCACTAAACAATTTAGTGCTTTGCAACCTCAGGAATACTGACATAAAAGTACAATACTATAATATTTAAAGTGAAATACAATGCTAGTAGCTACCTCAAGGGTTGTGTTCTTATCATTGTTACCAGTTTGTCTGATAAGGCATTAATGATGGATTCTCATTTACCAGTTTTCCTGTCAGGTCCACTGCTTTACATGTTTCTGCTTTGGTTTGCATACTGTCATTTTGCTCAATGTGTTTAAGCTGCACATGTGACTGTGGTATTTTTGGATGTGAAATAATTGCTTCACTCCAATCCTCATTTACAGTAAGTAGGCCAATCAAATCAGTCTGTGTGATGCACGTGGTACAGTGAGGTTGTATGACTCTGCATGTGTTTGAGTCTAGTACCGACAAGACAAGGTCAGAACACCCTGACATCCAGAATACTGCAGAGTCAATGCACAATCATGAGAGGACAGCAGTACAGTAAGTGTTTGTGCTGCAGGGACATTTGTCTTGTCTTTTTTCTGTCCTGTCTCACATTGTAAGCGTCATTTTCACTGCAGATTCAACACTTTTCTTTCCACGCCCACTATCCCTCCCTTGGAGACAGAAACAGCAGTTACTTCAAAACTACAGTGAGTTGTGCCTACACAACACACACACTCACACACACACAGATTATCCCTCTGTTGCTGTAGGTGGACAAGTAGGAAGACAAGGGAGGTAAAAAAAAAAAAAGAAACTGTTCATTATCCCGCCCCCGTACCTAACACATGTGTTCGCACACACTGGCAGGCATATGAACTGTATGTGCATGCCACACACACACACACACACACACACACACACACACACACACACACACACACACACACACACACACACACACACACACACACACACACACACACACACACACACACACACACACACACAAGAACAAGGAGGAGGCGTTGGGGATGGCTGAAGATCGTAGACAGATGGATCCTCTGGCAGAGAATGGGGGCTGACACCGTGGGGAGTGTGTGTGTGTGTGTGTGTGTGTGTGTGTGTGTGTGTGTGTGTGTGTGTGTGTGTGTGTGTGTGTGCGCGCATGTGTTACATGGTATCAGAAGAACTAGTGGTCCAGAAAAGCTAAGTGAAAAGCACAATTAACTCCACAATACAAAGAAGAACGAAACGAGAGAGAAAAGAAAACAGAAGTAAAGCAGGAGTGAAATATTGCAACCTCAATATTTGCATAGTTTACACAAAAAAATAACTGCAGGCCAGAGAAACAAATTAATTACTATTATTTTATTATTATTATTATTATCAATAATAATAATCATGAATAAGATACTTCAAATGACACTACTGCTTGTCCTACATTCAGACAGCATGAACTTAACATGAAACAGGATGCAGTAGAAATTATAGTCAAATAAATAATCACAAAAGGATTCATGTGTCCAACCTTTGAGACAAACTGAAGGCCTCTTCATTTGGCAACATATACAAAGCATTAGAAAAATGTCAGTGTAATCTATGTTCACACTGAGGTGTGGCAGAGTATTAAAGGTTTGGCATAGCTGGAGTGATTGCCATTCTTTAGATGAAGCTCTGACTCTGGGACTTGGCAGCTGATCGCCACACCATACTGTCAGGGCAGAGGTGTTAGAATCACCATAGTAACAGCCCACACGGTAGCCCGTTGTATGTGTCAAAAATTGACTGTGCTATTAAAGTGAGAGACTAATATATCCAGATATTAGATAATATTTCTCAGAGATCTCTCTCTCTCTCTCCTCTCTCTCTCCTCTCTCTCTCTCTCTCTCTCTCTCTCTCTCTCTCTCTCTCTCTCTCTCTCTCTCTCTCTCTCTCTCTCTCTCTCTCTCTCTCTCTCTCTCTCTCTCTCTCTCTCTCTCTCTCTCTCTCTCTCTCTCTCTCTCTCTCTCTCTCTCTCTCTCTCTCTCTCTCTCTCTCTCTCTCTCTCTCTCTCTAATCCACACACTGCTCTCTCTAGTGAGCATAGATGTTATTGATGATAACGCCTTCCTGTATTTTTCCACCCACTCAGCAGGCCGTGTTGACGGACAACCAATGTGAGATAGTGACAGAGGGACTGCTGAAGAGAGCACTGTCCCCTGGCAGGGATACCACCAAGTGTGATGACATCAGCAGCCAGAGGACTTTGGGGACACCTCAGAAAAATAAATTGACATCTTAGGAAATAAAGGGTTAGGATTAAACTGGTTGGCTTTCTGACAGAGCATCGGACTAAAGATTGATACCAATTCAACATTAGTTTGTTAAATATTAGCAGCTGGTCAGCTATCTATACACAAGATAGCAAACCTGGGAAAACAGCATGGCTCTGTCTGACTGACTTGAAATTCATATTGGAGCATGAACGTAATTTGTTAACTGATTTAGCCCAGCACTAAATCGGCATTCAATTCATGTTTATATGTTGTTTTTACAGATATGTGGTTTTGTGTTGTTTTACAGACTTAAAAAATGACTTAACATGACATTTAGTGAGCAAGAGGTGCTAGTAGAGGTCACTGACGGAGCCATAGTAACTGTTTCCTTCTGTTTTTTGGGCCAAGCTGAGCTAAGCTATACATTTCCTGGCTGTATCTTCCAATATAAAAACAGTTACATTAGTACATACTTTCCTATCTCACTTAAGACCAGAAAGCAAATAAGCTCATTCCCACAAAATGGCAAACTCAATTTAATTTCCTCATTTTAATTTGAAGTCCAATTTAAATCTACACTCCAACAGCCCTCCACCCTATTATCTTACTTTGGCTCCTGGACATACTTGTCCCTGCACCACCCGAGGCAACATGCCCACTGTGAAGAAAAGGAACTCGAGGCTGGACTATTATATTTATCTTTGTCCAGAAGGCCCCTGGCTGTACTCTCATTTACTTTTGCCCCTACACACACTTCTCTCTGCGGGGCTAGCACTGCTGTGCCCTGTGATGAAGTACTTTTCAGCTGGCCTGTGACATCCAGGAGACGGGGGGGGGGGACGGACAAATGGTGCCTGTATGGACATTGGTATAAAAAGGCCGTAATAAAAGAGGTCAAGTGGTTAGAAATTATTTTTTATTACCCTATCTATATAACTATAGTGTTACTTTGATTAACATTTTTGGAATGGTACTTTTAAGATGTACTGGCTATTATTCATTTCTGGATCTCATAGACTAGTATTAAGGTCATGAGGGGAAGTCTTGTCAGTGTGGAAAATATTACAAATGTACATCATCTAACCATTTAACGCACAGTATATTAAGAAAGTTGAAAGGATGCACAGCAAAAAATCAGAAAAAACATGGCAGTGCTCTGACTTTAACTCATAACTTTGCTTGTCAGAAAAGTTTTCTTGAACGTTTCATCCAGCTGCATTGATGTAGAACATTTCTTTAGATTGTCTCATGTAGACTATATTACATCTCTGTTAGGTGTGGCACTCTTCTGACTGCACCCAGCTGTTAATAAAATAAATTAGAGCCTGATTAATTGTTCAGTCAACATTACCTATCACAGGAACAAATTGTTTCTATAAGATACTTCATATAAGAACTTTTTTTTACCAAATACATAATGAAGAACGTTTGAGATGATTTTAAAAATGGTGTCATGTAGGCCAGCAGAGCAGGTTCCAAATCCATATTTTACAACACTCTCAGCACTGTCTGCAGCATGGGTATTCAATGAATTATTCCCCTGTTGTATCACTATTTGTATCCAATCAAATATCAGTCAGGCTTTAGTTATAATAATTATATGAAGAACCTGCATGAAGGTCCTTTAGGGACATATAAACTAAGTCTTGTATTTTAGTTCCTGATTGGTATCAGCTAGTCACCAGTTCCACTCACCAGTCATAGGAATTAATGGTGATGGTGAAATGGTTTTAATAACATGCCAAGCTCACACTCGTTCATAACGTCACCTCTGTTGGTTATTATTTGATCCCTCCAGCTACTCCCTGCAGGTACTAGCAGATTGATTGCTTACTCCACTGCACCAGTCTCCAGCTGTTACAGTTTCTTATTGCCATATCCAACAAAGCTCAATTTTTATAGTCTGCATCTCAGTGAAACGTTACGTGCCTGTTTGATTATTTCAAATGAAGTCACAATATAAAATTGTGCAAATCCAATTAATTATCTTTAATTATGTAAAAATGTAAACAATACAAAATACAAAACTTAAAACTTAAAAATATGTAGACTTTAAATAAGGAATGAAATGAAAGATGTTAAAACTGTGAAAAATGTGTCTCGCTTGAACACAGCATAACCTCAAAATAAGGTTATTTGGAGCAAAGGATAAAAGTTAGAGTGTCAGACTGCATTGTAAATGTTTCTCTTTGCTCCTATCAACCGCTGGCAGGAAAAACAGCCAGTGGCACTTCATTGCCAGCTCTGTCCCGCTAGTCTCAGCTTGTCTCAGCCAATAAGTGACATGAACTGTCCACAGGGTTTTGTTTTGGCTGGATGACGTATCTTAAGGGTAAACTAAAGTTTGCCCTCAAAGATGTGAACCCCTCCCCCCAATTCTCATGTCTGACCTTCTCTTGCTCTCATCATCTGTCTCTGTCCTCTGTCCTGTCTGCTGTACATTCTGCCCTGCCACTCTGGGCAA